GGCTTCCGCGAGGAAGCGGCGCAGCGCCGAGGCCGAGGGATGCGAGCGGTGCGCGGAGCTCAGCAAGGCGGTCCTTGGAGCCCCGGTTTTCGGCGCGACCAAAAGATCTCATGGGGGCTGGGGGGGAGGGAGGGGGGGGAGGGATCCCAAATTACGCCCTTAAGAAGGCCTTATTCAGGGTCGACTCCCCCACAGCCCCCATGAAGATTGGATCTGTTCAAGAGCCCGTTGTTGGGCGCAGGTTGTGCGGGCATGGAGCTCTCTGATAGGTTTTTTTCAGGCTATGATTTGTGTTGCGTGGAGCTCACATGCCACTCAGATATAAGGGTATGTGCAGGTATGGGAATTAGCAGCTTTTCAAGGGCCGTTTTCAGGCTATGGGTGCAGGTAGGGATCTGGTATACCACTCAATTATAAGGGCGTATTTGCAGGTATGGGTTCTGCAGAAGAGTTCACATACCACTCACTTGTACGGTATGTACTGTATATTCTGCTATGACTGCAGTGCTGGCATATGAGCATCCATGCCTTCAAAGCCCATACCAAATGCCCTTGATCTTTGTCGAATCGTGGAATTTTTCTAAAGTGATTGGTGGGTTTGTGGCTTGTTGCCAGGCCCAGCCTAGTAGCGAGTATTGATAACTAGTGACAGTTAGGGAATTCAGGACCATTCATCCCAGGGCTCTGAATCAGTGGAGGTGGCCAGGCGGCAAGATTCATGAATGCCGAATCTACAAAGTAGGATTCGTCCTCAGAAAGTGTGAAGCAGCAAGAGTGTCATGGAATTGTGCAACAATTGAACAGTTGGGTCATGAAAAATGCGGTCTGGAGTCAAGGCGGTCATGAGAAAATTGAACAAACCAGACTCGCCCCCTTTTGGCTGCTTGGCAGAGCTTATACAAAACAAGTCAACACCCAATTGAAGGAGGAATCCTTTGAAGTGAGCAACTGCTTGCAGACTACCACTCAGAAAAATATTGATATGCCGCCTAATCAAATTTGAAACTCCCCAACAAAGACTGACCACCCCCCCACGGCCGGGACTGCTTTCGCCAGCAAACAGGAGAAACAAATCAGCTATCAGCAAACAAAACCATGTATCAAAACACGTCCGAACATTCGGGCTTGTCCTTTCTGCCGGTATGTTGTTTGAATTTGTTTGAAGAGAACTCAGGGGGTTCTCACCTTCGACAAGCGCCCTTTATTTCCATGGAATCTGCCCAGCGTCCAAGGACATCCTGGCAAAGCCTGGCCACCGCTACGGGCTGAGGGCCGCCAAAGGTCCATGTCATCCGCCAGTTGGATCAACGACTGCAGCTGATTCGCCTGGATTCGATCCGGAGCGCTTGGCAAGTCGCCGAACAGGGGAAACACGGGTGTAACCCCCCCCCCCCGCAAATAAAAAAACTGGGGTTTGGTGGGTTTAGAACAAATGAGGGGACACCCTACTTCCAAAACCAACGCGCCTTGCATTCTGAACACGGAACTCAATGCTCGCTGACCTCCAAGCTGATGCGTAAAAGAAAGTTAGCACCTCGTATCAGAAGAAGCTCACCTCCAGGACTCCGGGAGCTTGGCGGCGCAAATCTCTCGCAGCACTTTGCGACCCCGGCTTGGCCAGACTTCCCGGAAACCAATGGCTTTCTGGCTCAAAGAGATGGAGGAAATCCAGGGGCAAAACAGCTACAAGGTCAGCCTGGCAATGGTTTGACGGCTCAGCTTGGGAACGAGGGCCGCCCTGGCGGACTATTTCCCATCCCAACAAAACAGCTACCAAACCCCGCCCCCGCCCCTGCTCCCTCCCGTTTTCAAAACGCAGAGTTGACTAATCCCACATTTCCGTACGTGTCAAAAAATGGGGACGGATCCCCAACATGGTGTTTTTCCCCTGGTTTCCCTTCAATTCAAGGTGGGTGTTCCACCATGGAAACCCACAATTGCGGGGTTCCATGACTGGTCCATGTGCGTGTTTACTCACCAAAAAGGGAATAGGGGATCCCCATAAACTGGCGTTGTTTGTATTGGTTTGCCTTTCCCCAACCCCAGAAAGGGTGCTCATCACAGCACCTGGATTTTCGACTTCCCAACTTGCTCCCCCCTTTTCTTCCACTAAAGGGTACTCATAAAACAGAACATTCATTTTCGATGTCCCAACTTGTTCCCTGTTGCCCACCTGTTTGGGGCCAAAAACCCAAACCCGCCCGTTTCAGCTGCGTCGATTCCATCGCCCCGCCTCAAAGACCTGGGCCTCAACCAGCGGCAGCGGCCAGCCGTTCACCAGGCGGTTGGACTTTTCCGCGGCGAGCGTGGAACAGGAGGACCAAACCTCGAAACCGACAGCTCGGTGGGAGAGGCAGATCTTCCCCAGCCGTTCTAGGCCATTTCTGCGTGGTTTAGGTGGTGTGAGTGTGGGTTTTCCGTGCCATTTCCCTTAAAAAACCGTGGCCATCGCCCTTTAAAGGGAACCTCCAACAGTGGCCATCGCCCTTTAACGGGAACCGCCAACACCGGCCATCGCCCTTTAACAAGAACCTCCAACAGTGGCTGGCCATCGCCCTTTACAGGGAACCTCCAACAGTGGCCATCGCCCTCTAAAGGGAAATTCGAATAGTGGCCATCATCCTTTAAAGCGAACCGCCAACAGTGGCCATCGCGCTTTAAAGGGAACCTCCAACAGCGGCCATCGCCCTTTGACGGTAACCTCCAACAGTGGCCATCGCCCTTTAAAGGGGCCCTTTAAAGGGAACCTTTAACAGTGGCCATCGTCCTTTAAAGGAAAGCTCCAACAGCGGCCATCGCCCTTCAACGGGAACCTCCAACAGTGCCCATCGCCCTTTAGGGAACCTCCAACAGCGGCCATCGCCCTATAACTGGAGCCTCCAACCAACAGTGGCCATCGCCCTTTACAGGGAACCTCCAACAGTGGCCATCGCCCTTTAAAGGACATCGCCCCTTAAAGGGACCCTGCAACAGTGGCCATCGCCCTTTGGGGAACCTCCAACAGTGGCCATCGCCCTTTAAAGGAAAGCTCCAACAGTGGCCATCGCCCTTTACAGGGAACCTCCAACAAACAGTGGCCATCGCCCTTTAAAGGAAAGCTCCAACAGTGGCCATCGCCCCTTAAAGGGACCCTGCAACAGTGGCCATAGGGAACCTCCAACAGTGGCCTCCAACAGTGGCCATCGTTTCAATGGAAACCACCAGCAAGTTGATCAACTTTTGATTGGGGGGAAGCCAGTGACCCCCTAAGAAAAGGTACAGGAGCACCCTTTAAACGCGCAAGGGGGCATGAAGGAACATCAAACAAGAAGATTCAGGGAACATTTGCAGGGAACAAGAACATCAAACAAGACGATTCAGGGAAACTTGTTTTAGGAAACAAGAACCAACAAGAACAGGACGCATTTTAGGGATGTTGAGGGAACAAGGACACACAAGAACATCCATTACTCTAGGGGTTGATTCCCCCTTCTTTTCAACCATTGTTCTTTTCAAACACCGGCCGTTTCCCCTGGGCTTTTGATGGCTTCCAAAGAAGGATCCCTGGAAAGAATGGAAATGGAAGGTACCCCTAGAATTACGAAAACCACAGCGAAGGCCAAGAGTTCCAAGTAGTTCCAAGGGCAAGTCGCGTGCTCCGCCAGCTCCGTGGGCACTTCCTTGGGCGGCAGGCCCAGCAGGTCTGGCAGCTTGGCGCCGGCCTCCCAGCAGGCCTCAAGCAGTTCAGGGTATGTGTGTCAGGGATCCTTACATGAAAAACACCCGAACATTGCCTTGTAAATGGTGGTTTCCCTTTGATTGGTGGAAAAGCCATGTTTCAAATGGGCAAAATGTATCTTTTGAGGAGCCCTGTGTGTCCGGGTCGGTTTGTCATGAACCCCCTGGAATTTCTGTTCGAAATGGCTGGTTTTCCGGGGTGGGGATGAAGTGGTTCCAGGGTGGTGATGTTGTGGGCATGTGAATTTAGCTTGGGCATTTAGTATTCAGCTCTGATTTGGATCCCACCTACCATGGACTGAAAGTGACTCCGAAGACCATTTTCCTTCGGGGCCCTCTTTCAGGCTCAACTCTTGGGTAGCGGGACCCCTGCATCATAGTGGATGTCCTGTTGGTTACTCTTTAACTGACCTGAAGCAGGGTACCCTCAAAAGTCTTGATTAACTATGCTCGATTTGGCTTTCCACAAAAAAGACACCAACGAAACATCAAACGTCTGAAAGCTTGATTTTAGACCAGCCACAGGAACCACAAACCCAAAAACCCAAAGGTTGATCAATTCGATGGGTTTCGCAGGGGACGCCACCAGGAGAACGTCATCAACAAACCTGACCAAATCTTTGCCATGCCGGTGAGAGGCCCATGACAACAACCTCACGCGCTCTCCACCCAGAGAGCCCAAATGCATCTCCAGGCCCTCCTTTAGCCGCAGGTAGCACTGCCTTGGGACCCGCTGCGCGGCCAAGGCCAGCGCGAAGCCAAACTCCACCACCTCACGCCCGAAACGTGAAAGCCAGAAATCGGCACCCCAAGGTCTTCGGAACTGATGCACAAAGAGCCTTGCCAGCTGCTACGTCAAAACAACAAGTTGGAGAACAACCACCAAAAAGATGATATGTCCATCACATGGGAAAGTTACCCATGGTCATTTTGGGTCGAACGGAATATTGATCGAACCCCACGTGTTGAGGCGTGTACCTGTTTCTTTGGCCCGAAAGCATTGAATGAAAACATGTCGAGCCTCATCGTCAGATCCTTCTTGACAATGCAAGGCCCCTTGCTCGCCCATGACCTGCAACGACGCGACAGGAACCATGTCGCCGTCCCCTACAAGTTGTGGAATCACACATCTTGAGATGAATGTTCCTTTAAAAAACCCTTTGTTAAATTCTGTGCGAATGTGCTGGGGACATGGATTTTGGACGTATTCCGTATTCCCATAGAAAAGTCAAGTGGCCACGCCGGGCATAAAAAGCTGAGGGCAGTTTGGCGCATCGGTCCCTCCAGCCTGGTAGGCTTCCTCGTAGCTGTGTCGAGCAATCGCCATGGCCTCCAAGATGATGGTGATTTGCGGCAGGCTTGTGGTTACGAAGGCCTTCTGCAAAGCCTGAACATGGAGCATGAGCAACACGGGCTGTCCTCAGATCCCCTGCTAAAAGTTTATTTTTTCGTGGTTTAGCACTAAACATCTAAGAACCTAAACGGACGGCTGCGAAACTGCTGCGAACCACCAAGGCTTCTTGCGATTGCCCAACCACAGAAAAGTCCCGAGGCAAGAAGCAGGCGACAACATGTCAAACAATGTCGAACACATGCAAGATGACCATTGCGTTGGAAATACTGCGAACTGCTTAAGTGAGCTGCCCCATGTTCTCTTGCTTCCACTCAGGCAAGCGCACAAGCAACTCCGAACCAGACTTCCATTTGCTTAAGCCCCAATAAGAAAGTATGTCCAGTAGTGAAATCGATTCCCTTTACAACCAACAGATATGATTTTCGTAATAAAACAAATCATTTCAGCAAATGGAAGCAGGCACCTGCTGCCAAGAGGCGTAAACCACAACAGGCCTTGCACGTGAAAGAATGAAAGAAAGGCCTCCCTTTCACCCGCAAAAAGATCGACAAATACCTGAAAGGGGTTCTAAGACGCTTCACTCAGAACTCAGAACCCAGAGGCCAAGCGTCATCAATTCGGTCTGGAGGTCTGGCCCGAAGGTGTCAAAGAGAATGGCGAGGTCATCAGATACCAAGGGCTCTTTCCAAATGCCTGGGCTTCAGCTACGTTTACAAGCTGGCTTCCATTTGCTTCTTCGCCCCTGGAGAAAAAGTAGCAAAACGATTGCCAGTGTGAAATTGATTCACTAGAAACCAAAGGGCAATCATAATAACAATAAACAAAAGCAACATTTCAGAACATGGAAGTATGTGTCTGGTTGTGTGGACAAAATTTCTGGAGCCCATCTCTTGGCGCAAGCGAAGCACGGCATGAGCCCAAGTGGCCGTTGTCCATGAACACGTTCGGCAGCCAACCTCAGCTCAGGTTACTGCTGTGAGCTCAGGTCCATCACATCCGGAGGAGAGTAAGTAGCATAGCAAATGGGCCGCGCTGCATGCACTCACACTCTATGACCCTATGCAGCAAAGCGTCTAGCGATGAACCCGCCAGACTCAGTGATCCTGCCATACGTACCTTTGGTGCTGACACGCTCTGCTTCCATGATTCGTGCGCTTCGGTGGCATTTCAAGGACTTTTCCACCGCCTGCCCCCTTACCGAATCAAAAGCTGTGAGCACTGGCACTTGACGCGCCTTCAGCTTCCTGTGGACCTCTTTGAGACCATTTCCTGAGCTGACTTCCCACTCAGGTTGAGGCAAGTCAAAGCAGCTTTGGACCACGTGGAACATGTTCCCTATATGCGAAGTTGACAAATGGAAAACGTGAGTCATAATCAAAACCAGGCACAAAAATGGTGCACCCAGAGCCATGGAAAACAAATACGAGGCGGCCGCAGCTATTGATGGTTGGGATCATCCCTTACTAACCTTCATTCATCTACCGGGTTTTGATTGTGGCTCACGTGTTCTTAAAGACACCGTTATCCCAAACGATCTGGCCATGGCTCCGCAGCTTTTGCCGGTGCCGCTTGCCCTTCTCACGGATTTCGGCTCCTGTGTCAAAAGCAGCTGTGCCCTTGGGCCGGTGTTGAAGAGAACCCAACAAAGCAGTACTGAGTACTCACACTCAAACAAATGCACAACAAGATCAGAGCAAATGTTGCATTTGCGGGGCCATGTCTGCAACTCAACTTGTCCTCCTGATCTTGCCTCCTCAAACTTCATTTCTTTCATTTCTTCAGCTACCTGCCATGTGAATCTTTGCAGCAGCCCTGAGCATGCCCTTTGCGCTCAGAAAGCGCAAGCGCGCCGTTTCTCTTGCATGCCCAATGTGCCGGCGACGCGTCGATCAGTTCCCCGATCTTCACCAGCCGGCGCCCTTCTGAGATGGTCTGCGGAACTTTCCTATGACACGTGGCAAGCGGAGCAGTGGGCTGTGTCCCCATGGCTCTTTGTTTGGAATTGGCACTGGAAGCCCTGTTTCGTTGGTTCGGCTTGACCACTGGCGTGCCTTTTTGGATAGCTCTTGGGAACTTGCAGCGATGGTGGTAGTACACCTGCTTGCAGCGATCTCGCCGTTTCTGGCCTCTCGGGACCGATCAAGGCACCGATGAACAGACTTCAACTACCTCGCTTGTGCTCACAAGTATGGGGAACACAGTAGTTCTTGACTGGGGGTGGTGTCGATCCCTTCCGCTCCTCTGGCAGGGACCAACGCCCCAACGCATGCGACTCACCAACCTGTACATCGACCAACGATGTCGAGTCTGACAGGGCACCCAAAAAAACACCAGGCCGCAAAGTCAGCACTGCAACGGACACAAAACACAGGGTCAAATAATTTAATCAGGGCACCTCGAACAAAAATAACCCTAGGGTTCCAAAGGCCATTAAAAGAATGGTCGAGGTCGCTAGACTGCTTTTTGCCGAAAGACTGTTTTTTTGCGGGCCCTGAATATCCAACAAATCATGCTGTTTGTTGCCCAAGAATTGCTTAGGGTCAGGTCACTGACAGTCACGCCGCCCTCATCCTCCCAGCTGCAAATGACTGCACCCAAGCCACTCATTCCCCATCTTGCCAACTGTGTGGTCGAATCACTTTTCAAAATCGCCGGGTGCCCCGCCTACCGTATATGCGTGCATCGATTGTTCGGATGTTGGTACTGAAGTCCGGCTTTTTGAAAATGCTGCAAACTTGCTGGCTTCGGGGCATCGCTGCCGATCAGGCATGCGTTGTGGGCTCCTGGGGGTATGGTTGTCCACGCTTTTAAATGTACTATCCACACTAAAACCTTCCTTTCCACGGTTGTCATGGTTTGTCCACGCCTCATTTTCTTTCGAAATCGATTAACAATCAACAAACAACACGCGATCAGACTCTGTGGAGCTGTGGACAAGAAGTGGTAAAGCACGCACAGGCATGTGAGGGACAAGCCAAATTGACACAGCATGGTGACGGCGTGTGACTACAACGGGATGAAGCGACTTTAACACATACTAGCTTATTTCATAAACGTCAGCAATCAAGTTCTTCAACCTCTCACTGCACAGAAGCGCGCCGGGATGTCAGGAGCCAGCCGTCTCAAGTTGGCCAAGTTTGTCTAGACCTACTTTTAATGGTCAAGGGACATTACTTTTATAGCCTTTCATTTCTTAAATGGTCGAGGCTATTTAAAGAATAGTCGAGGAAGCATAGGGATAAGCTACTGTCCATCTCCTTTTGACTTCCTTCTAGAACTCCAACACTAAAACCGACCAGCGAACCGACTTTGCGCTCAGCCGGCGTCGCCTCAAGAGCGCAAGGCCTGCAAGGCCCGCCACCAGTATCAGGTGCCTCAAGACCAGCACATGAACCACCCAGCGACCCCGTTTGAACATGGAACCCCTGCGGAACCCAGTAGGTCCCGAATAGAGGATATGCTGCAGGGAACCCTAGTCAGGCTCCATGCCAGTCGACGGGAGGGTATTTCGCACGTGCTTCATGGGAAATCGCTGCAAACCCCCGTCTCGCAAAAAGCCAACAGAAGAACGCCCATTGAACCTTCTGCAGCCCAGTCACATCGGCCTGGCTGCTTTTGAAGCTGGGGCCCCCTCCTGATTCGTGCGCCAACTCGAGTCCCAGAATCGGACTTGAACCTGGGTCTCCTCTGCAATAGCTCTTGCCCTCATGAAAAAAAACACCTGCACACCCTTCACGCTGTTGCTGCGGAAGCTTTCGTGTCAAGCAATACAGATTTCCGAAACGGAACATTACAGAATACTTGACGCTTGGGCATCTTTGAAGGTTCGGGCAAACCCTGCTTCACATAGAGGACGCGTCACTTGTACCCCAAAGGCAGTCTTCAGGCTCTCATGCTCAAATGGACATGATTTCAAGCTGGCGACCCCTGTGGTGGACTTTCTTTTGCGGGCTTGCCCACCCACCAGTTTTGAAGATGCCAAGGAAAAACATAGCGACTTGGATTGCCTTGCCAAGCTCTCTGGTGCAGGGTTGTGCTGTTGAGCTCGATGTCAAGCGGTGTGGCAACGAATCTGCGACACTTTGGTGGGTGCAAAGCAAGCCAACACAGTTCGAGGGGCCAAGGCTTTTCTCTCAGAAAAGTGGACAGTTCTAAGCATTCTATTCAAGACCAGCCCACCCTCTGTCCTGACTTGGGCATGACTGCCAAACATGGCGCACAGCAAATACCGCCATTGCAACGACTCGTTCGTTGGACTGGCTGTGATTGCATGTGCTACCGGGTCCAATGACCCCAACAACTCAAGCAGAATCTGGAAAGCAACTTGCCAAGCTGCACGCACATGTTGAGACGATCTCGCTCCTACGCTTCTCATTTCGTTTGCTCGTGGAAACCTCTCCCTCTCTCCTGACGTGCTTGAACCCAGGCATTTCGGCGAAAGCTCACTGCAATGCTCCAACCTAGGCCTTAGGCAAGGACAGCTACTGTGGATGGACAAAATTCTACACCACTTCGAAACCATAAAATTGGTATTGACAGTGGAATCATCATTCCCGGGTTTCTTAGGTGGTGCAGGATTTCGTCCATCCACAGTACATGATTAGAATTGGGCCCAGTTATAGAATGTAACTTTTATTTTTGCTTCGCTTTGAGTCACTGGTAAAATGTAAAATGTATCCTCAGTCTACCCCAGATCTAGCCTAGGTACATAGGGTTTCGCGCATCCTCAACTCCAGCGTCTCAAATGACAATGTTGCCCAGCTGCCGCCGCAAGGTGAGCTCAGGCAAAGCACTTGCCATAGCATAGAGCGCAGCGACAACTGGGAGTGCAAGAATCACCTTGACGATCAAAGCTGACGGGAATTGGAGTAGTTTTCAGCTAGCAAACAGCGAATGATACTAATGATACCTGAAGCAATGCCTGAAACATGGTCTGAACCCCTTCAATGAACAGCTGCAAGCCTGGTGCAGGCATTCCCACATACCGGTCCAGAGATCCGAAGCGGTACCTCATAATCAGCCGCAAGCCTGTCCAAACAGGTGGTGGCGGCCAGAAAACAATTCGTGAATCTGCAAGGGGGAGGTCGGGGACGAAATCGACCTCGCACGTGAAAGCTTAAAACGAGTGCTTCAAACCGTCGGCCGAAGCGCACAGAGCATGGCAGAGAACGCGGATCGTTGCACAGCTGTAGCCATCCCTTCGAAGCGTATCCGCAACCCAAGCTGCAGCCCCCTAGATATCATCCAACTGCGCTAAGAAAGACCTGCCAAGGCTCCCTTCGCGAACGTCCGATCAAGGAGCCGGAAAGGCTGCAGCCACAACTTGACAACTTGACTTGTTACTGGTTCGTGGGGAAAACACATCTCCCCCGGAAAAAAATGTTAGAGATCCACTTCATCAGAAGCAAAGTCGACAGCTCTGGTCTTTTTCATTACGGACCGCTGTGGGCCAGCACTGGTGAAGGCTAATGCCTTGCTGATGACTCCGAAAGCTTGCGGCGGAAAGTGACCTCAGTGTCATGTAAAATTTGTTTTGCGCACCAACTGTGCAACTTACATGAAACTTGCTCTGACTACCCACTGGATTCGCCCGGAGATTCTTCAAACTTGTAGTGCGACTGTGAGGCTGTGATCAGTGCACTCGAAAAAAGTGCTTTCGCCATTGGCAGCTGAGGCACGCTGGGCTTTGCACGTTTTGCGCGCTGACCAGTGGCCAGGAAATGCCAGCACTCCCCAAAGCTCTGCCTAGGCCGTGCGCCGAAAAGGAGGTTGGGAAGAAAACGCATATCGGCTGATGGGTCAGAACGGACGCAAGGGAAACCCATGATATTGCCATGGGTCAAAATCCAAATCGTACCCCCAGTGAACATCCCAATCCCCACTAAAATAGACTAAAATGGGTGGGCACCTACCCCAAAATGGGATCCCATTGGTGTTGACCCACAGCCACATGACTCAGGTGGATTAGAATATACAGGACGACTTGTCCTGTAAAGGTGCTGTGGCACACCCAGTGATTCCATTTACCTGAATGTGGGTAACCAAGCAAACCACCCTTTGAACACCAGAAGGACAATTGTTGGTTACCTACCACAGTGGCTTGCCTGGACCCACTGGGACAAACCAAAACCAAAAAAAACACAAGCAAAAACATCCGTGGGCCATTTGGTACCCATTCCGCTGTCCACCCGCCCGGTACCAAACAATCGGGGGCATCCAAGCATGGCCAAAACTAAGGGGCGGCCAAATTGTTTGGAAGCTGCCTCATACCTTGGGGCGTTTGAGGCACTTGTTCTATTTATCCCTGGCAATTCGTTGAGACCAAAGCTCGGGAATTCGAAGGGGACACAAACTTAGTCCAAGCATACACACCCCGCCCCAACCCGCCCAGGGCACGGTCGAGGGCTCTTGGAATGAGGAGAGAGCCGACCATCAGGGTTCCAGTACCTTCTTTGCCAAGGGGGATGAAACCCAAACGTCGCCTCTTAGGCACAAGACCTACAAGTCTGGGTTGACATCCAGGCGGGGATGTCAGCCAAATCTGCAGACTGTACTATACTTCCAAAATTTGATTTAAGGGATCCGAGCAAAGAACATGTATCATTATACCCCCAGGTGAGCTCGCCAAAATAGGCAGACCAAATAGAAGCTTGGTGAAGGCTGAATTGCAGCTGGTTGCGCGAACACCGCCCAGCGACCTTCGAGCGATGGGCTTTGCCCAAATGGGAGTCCGGTGCTGGGAACAAAAAAACGTCAACCAAATTTCATAAACAATCCGGACAGGTGTCCCTCGAATTGTGAAACTGGATGCTGAACAAGGGGTCTGGAAACTTGAACAATTACCCGTCCTCTTCTTGTCCCTTTGGGCTAACTAACAACAATTGGCACTGGCTATGTGGCACAATTTCATCCTGAGGCAAATCTCTCTCAAGTGAGTTCTGACAAAACTGCCAACGCGCCCCTCAAATTCACCAAATGATGCTACTTTGTGTATGCCAATTTGAGCTTGCACAAGCAAGGGAGCAAGGACAACGATTCTATAGGCTTCCAAGCAAACACCATGGCTTTGTGGTTGGGTATGCTTTGTTAGCTTGCAATTGAGGGAACCTACCGCGCCCTAGCGTTCCAAATGCACGATTCATAGGCAAACGTTGCCGGTCCCACTGTGGATGGACGAAATCCGTTCGCACCACCTAAGCGGCACATGGGATACCAATGCTCGTCGGTATTTACCGGGCAATCATTCCCCGGTTTCGGAACGGTGGTGCGAAATGGATTGCGTCCATCCGCAGCAGGTATACCGATCCTGATTTGGACCTCGATTGACTTTGATACAGGGCCAAAGACCTCCGACGCCACAGACCTTGCCCAAGCCTTGGGACTAGGTCGGAATATGTCGGAATTTGGTCAACCATTCGCTTGCTCAATGGCCTTTCCAGGTTTCCCTTCCAACAACCCGGCAGACCGGTTGACCAAAGAAAGGGGATGACAAAGCATGACTATGTTGAACTAGAGATGCCAAGATCACTAAATCAGGATGTAACGAAGTGCCGAGACCTAATTATGGAATTCTCCGGCAAGGTGGTCTGAATGCGCTGGCGCATGTATACTGTATTTGTTGGGGGTATGGTCCCTTAAACTTTTTCTACTTGAGAGTGATATCATCACTTTGGAAGTCTTGAGAAGGATGGTGCCGATGAGTGCTCATGTCAGTGGGCTCGAGAAAAAAAAGGCCAAGATGGTGCACAAACTCTGCAAACACATTCGGTCTACACTGCCTTCACCATCCACTGTACACGTTTTGCTCAGTCGCCCAAACCTAGGGAATCAAAGGCGATCCCCTTTTGGGATTTTTACTTTGCTAGTGGAGCCAAAAGTGAAAACCAAAAGACGCCTTTGAGCAAAGGGCCAAAAGTGCAAACCACAAAGTGAGCTGTGCAAAACCAAGAGACGTCGCAAGGTCTGCATTGAACTGAGTATGCAGCAGGCTATCCCAAGCTCCCGCCCCTGGCCCACGAATCGATCCACCTCGACCCAAGGGGCTGGGCGCGGGCGGCGCCGGGTCGGGCAGAAAGGCCAGGCGCTTGGGGTGCACTCGGAGGTGGCCATTCAAGTCCGTGGCCAGCAAAAGCATGGCAGAATCCTCAGCCCCGCCATTTCCCAGCCCAGTGGCCATAGGGAAAAAGGGGCATCCGTTGTTGGTTGGTTGACTTTAAAGGGAAACCCTTCCCCAAAAAGGAGGAAAAACACAGGGCGCCACTGGGCAACTGGGACTTGCTTATTCGCCCCCTGGAAAAAATAGTGATAGATTAAATTCCCTTTGAAACCAACAAGGAAAAAAAAAGCATATTATTAAGCAAATCAAAGCTTTCATTGCCCAATATTGCCCCAAGGTGACTTTGTTTAATTGTGTTTATCCCAGTATTCATTTGGGTTTATGGGGTGTATCCAGTTATCCATCCCAGTCATGCATCTCAGTATCTATAGGGGTTATCCAACCCAACTAGTGCAGGAGTCCTGTCCATTTGCCATCCACAGTAGTGGTTAAAAGGTTCAGCTTTTGGGGCCACGACGAAACATGGACCAAACATGGAAAACCACAAGACGTCGAACATCGTCGAAAGGTCGACTCGCTTTGGGCAATTGAGTTTTACGGGTGCTCAGGGCCGAAAAACAAAAGAGAAAAAACAACAAAAACACGCAAGCACCTACTTTTGTTGGGTTGGACCATTTTCGAGCCTTCGAGAACAGCTTCCATGTGGGACGAAGGGTGCCATTCGGATCCCCGTGATGCAATAAGAAGGAGAATCGTGGATGAGATCTGTTCGCCTCGACTGTAGCGGCTACCCTTTCGTTCCAACATGGACGTGAGCTGTGACTCAAAAAAGCCAGCTTGGCAACGACTGTTGGAGGACGACTCTTAGTTTTGGAAAGGGGCTCTGTGCACTTCCATGTAAGCGATCATATGTTGAACTAAATGGAAGCTGAACATTGTCAGCAAAGGGCGAGCATGTCTGCCATCAACATCTCTTGGTAGGAATCTTTGTCTGAAAGGAAAGAACTTCTTGCTGCAAGCGTGGCAAGCATGGTTGGCGAATATTTCTGTGCACCCAAATGAAGATTTCACCAACTATGTCAAGAAGACAGGAACCTTCATGGCTGTCGCCTGTTCGCCATCCCCACGGATTCGTCAGGGCGCGTTGTTGGAGGGCTCGCCATCGTCCAGCAAATAATTTCCTGGGCTGCGTGCTCCCTGTTTTGGAAGGGTCACTGCAATGCATCCCAGCTGCGAGCGGAGAAAAGGGTGATCAAGTGTCCACCGTGCATGACCTGTGCCCGACTGACGCTTCCCAAGCGCTGAATTCAGTAGGTCATGCTTGGTAGGGCGCACTACTTCCTCATATTTCCTCAGGTTGCCATTCCCTCCCAAAGAAATCTCAAGGAAGTTTGTGCCCGATGCACCCCGCATAAGTATATCATTTGGTGCCTGCATCTTTTCTCCATCCAAGGGTTGTTTTGTGTGTCATTCGAGGGAAAGGAAAATCAGCCACCAGCTCCGAGGGGGGGGGGGTATCAAGCAACCTCCCACATTTCTTCGGCGTTGACGTCAAAACAGGAGGTAATTGCCATCGTTCTTCCAATGCGGCTCCGCTTTTCAAAAGTCAGGGCTTGAGGCTTCCAGAAAGATACAGTACCCACAGCTCGCGTCCTGCGTGGATTGGCAACAAGCAAAGTAACCAACCGTTTTGTATTTACCACTAAAATGGACGTTTTTGGACCTTTGAAGTCATTCCCCCAAAAAGAGCTTGAAGTGTATGAACTAAAGTGAGGCAAAGACATACAAAGGCAAACTCTACCCTAAATCAGGCGGGCAGGAATGCAGGTCCCTCATCTCGCGCCTTATATCCTCCCACATTTCTTCGGCGTTGACGTCAAAACAGGAGGTAATTGCCATCGTTCTTCCAATGCGGCTCCGCTTTTCAAAAGTCAGGGCTTGAGGCTTCCAGAAAGATACAGTACCCACAGCTCGCGTCCTGCGTGGATTGGCAACAAGCAAAGTAACCAACCGTTTTGTATTTACCACTAAAATGGACGTTTTTGGACCTTTGAAGTCATTCCCCCAAAAAGAGCTTGAAGTGTATGAACTAAAGTGAGGCAAAGACATACAAAGGCAAACTCTACCCTAAATCAGGCGGGCAGGAATGCAGGTCCCTCATCTCGCGCCTTATATCCTTGCCTCACGAACTGGTGCGAGCGAATCACCAGGTCAATGCCCTCGCGCATGCAGAAGGCCCTGAGTCGTCCGAGTCATGACGAAAAGAACGAGCCAAATTCCATATACCCTCCCACCAATTAACCTGGAACCGGACGTTTGCGGGGAACTGGAAGACTATATTTTCTTTTGAAGGGACCACATGTGAAAAAAAAAGTGGGAGGAGATGCCCTGTCTTGCAGTTGGGTCTGGTTTATCTAGCATAGCCAACAGATGGGTCTGTTCTTGCCAAGGGACCAGCTTTTTATATTAAAGAGATTCGTGGTGAACCCCCAGCTTGCCCGTGGCCGTCCATGTGTTCTTTCGTGGCCCATGGGCCCTCCCATGGGCTCGAGCTCTCGAGCCCTCGAGCTCTCGGGGCTTCCGGCTGGGTGATGTCCGGGCCGAACTGGTGGATGCCGGCACCCTCGCCCCGCTCCTGAGCGGAGCGCAGCGAGACATGAGAGCTGGAACGTGTGCGCGTGTGCACGGGTGTGTGTGTGTGTGTCCCCACAAAAATGGCGCCCCAAAAACATTCGAGGTCAGCTTGCTTGAAGCCTTTGGCTTGAATGTCTGGAAATGCTGGACGTCCTAGTGCTTGGTGCCTTTTTGGGGAGTTCCAAAACGGGTTCAGCCACCTGGCGTGCGGCGGCAGAAGTCGGAAAACCGATCAGGGCTGGCCCTTCATGGCAATGACCTTGAAGGAAACCAATTGTTTGGAGTCCCCAAGACGGATTTCGGTTTTGCTTTTTGCCCCTCAATGAACACCAAGTTTAAAAGAGGACCCTCAACAAAACGTACACATTTGGACCGCCCAGCGGGAGTCGTAAGACTACTTCAAAAGGCCTCATGTCAACGAAAACGCGGGCGGGCCCCTTTGGCGGGGGTGCAAAATGCTGCAACAATCCAGAGCACTTGAGGAGGGGGTTCCGAGCTGTCACTCGCAAAGAGCCAACTAGAAGCCTCAGCTGCAAGCACGTGCTGAACACGCTTGCGTGGGAAGCCGCTACGCTAAATTCAACGCCGCGAGGCCTCGTTCGCATGTACTCCTCGTGCCATGGAATGGTCAGAATCCTGAGTGCTTTTGCGTGCATGTCATGCCGAAACTCAAAAGCAAAGTACCATTGCCTGGCTCACTCTGAGATGCCCGCGCTGGGGTCCGACCACAGCGCATTGAGCGCAAGATCATTCTCCAGCACCTCTGCAACACATGCTTTGGGGCAAGCATTCTTGCTAGCCCTTTGTCGGGGTGTTGGTGGCCGTCAGGATTCCACCACGAGCTTGGATGAGGACAAGTTGCAAATGCCAAGGACATCCCCTTTGCAACCCTCCCAGCGGGGATCTTTTCTGCTTTGTTTTCGGTCCTCCTGTCCCCATTTGTCCCATGAACGGAAGAAACCAGTTCCTTGGGATCTATGTGGTTCATGCCCCTTGCGCGCAAGGGATCGCTGACTGGTTCCTGTTCCGGTCGGCATGAGGATCGCACCACGAGTTTGGCCGCACAAAAACGAATGGATTCGGAGCCGCGGCGCCTTGGGTCACTTTCCCTTAAGGGGCCGGGGTCACGAAGGGGTCCCTTTGATTGCGGCCCACTGAAAGAAACCAGCCGGAAATCTCTCAGTTTGCCAGCCCTCCCCCCTCCTGGGTTTTGTGGCCTGGCAGGCTTCCTGGCAATCTTGTCGCCGGTCCGTGTCTGTGCCTTTTGGACATTTGGACCAATTAAGTTGTCTTTTCGCGCAAGGGGCTGAAACATGTCCACCAAAGGTGTTTGCCTCTTTTGTTGGGGGTCCGCTAACCCTTTTGCCTCCCCGTTTTGCATGAACAACCCTCAGGGCTCCCCACGGGCTCAGCATCCCAAACCCACCTTTTTGCAGGGCTTTGGGCCCTCTGCTCAAATGCCCGCGTCTCAGCCTGCATGGGCCGCTTGATCTGCTCAAGCTCCTTGAGGCCCCACGTGCCATCACCTAGGCTTTCCGCAGGCTGGATACTTTGCCCTAATGAGGGAGCCAAAGATCAGCCTCCCGATTGGTGGTTTGGTACTTGGGGTACCTTCCCATTTACCTTTGAGGAGAACCAGTCAAATCCACAAGCCACCAATCCAAACCACCAGGTGATCTCTGAAGCACGAAAATTGGAAATATATATATATATATATGTGTGTATATATATACATGTATCTCGGGACTACGCGGCAAAGCCAATTCAACAGTTTGGCAGAAGAGCAAAACTGCGCGTGAAATTGCTGAACATTTTTCCAGCAAAATGGATCCAATTTTTTTCTACAATCGGGCCAGTCCTTGTGCGCTCGAGAGCATGGTTGAAGCTGTGCCAAAGCTGGGCCCTTTTCACAATGGTTTGGATTGGCCAATCAAATCCAACCTGTCTGCCACAAAAATGACCAGTGCGCCTTAGATTGATCCAACTTCTAGGCCCCTTTTGCCACATCCCGAAGTTGAAGCAAGCCCAGTCAGTATCACCCCGCAACACAATGGCAGCGCAACATCTCCGTGTCTTGTTGTTCTCTGTTTTGCACTTGAGCGATGTTGGAGGGGCCGCCACCCCCCTGTCACTGGCCTCATTATTTTACCATGATCAAAGTCACCCTCTAAGTGGTGGGTTCAAGGCAAAGAACCACATTTTCCGACTTTTGACAACCCCCAGACACACTCAAAATAGTGGCTCCAGTATCAATAAACTAGTTGAGTCATATTGGGTCAACAGAGTTGCCCTGGAGGGCAATCCCAATTACGCCGAGGGCGCCCAAGCCGCCATGGAGAACCAGCACCTGGCAGGTCAGCTTTTTTTTTTGGCGACATGTGGCGAACACGTAATGGGTGAGACCAGGGGAACCTAAGAGACCCAGAATTGGCAGGATGGTCTCACCAAAGATACATGCAAATTTACAGTTGTCTGCATATAGTGTTACAATTGTATATGTACCAGGTCCTCCAATAGAGAGGTAAGAATAAGGGTACCCTTTTTTCTGTAGTCTATCTTAGTAGGGGAACCCTCCCCAAAAAAAGGGTAAAAGGGCACTACTGGGGGGTCGATATAATATTACACACACTCAACCACTCACACACCCCGTTTTGGGGGCCTCAAGAGAAGGCCCCCAGGACCCTTCAACCCCCGATCGCGCCTTGTTGGCCACTAAGGCGCCCAACGGCATCCAGTCGAAGGCGGAGTGGACGGCTTCAAACACCTGCGAGTGTCACCTGTGGTTGGATTTATCCCTTACACCCAAGATCCTCCTGTTTTAGTTGGTATCATGTCGACCCTCTACCAAAAAAAAAAAGGTATTTATTAAAAAAAAAAAAAACGGCGCTTAGGAAAAAATGGGTATTCAGAGCCTCTGGTTAGAACTATATACCCCCCAGTTGTTCAGCGACCCAGGAGAAAAAAAAGGGAACCCACGGCAACCCTTTTTTGGGAAGACCATTTTTAGTGAGCGATCACCAAAACAAAAGGGAAAAAGGGGTGCCAATGAACAACTGAGACCCCTTACACCCCAGACCCTCCTGTTTTAGTTGGTATCATATTCGCAGTAGGGAATAGAAGCCTTTCCCTGGCAAATGGATGGCATACCCAGCTTCTCCAGTGGGCGTCGACTCCTAGGAACTGAAGGCAAAACGGACAAGCCACGCCGGTCACCCGATTATGACCTTCCCTCAAATCGACAATGGAGAACAACAATCTTTCGGCCAAAAGAGGTTGGTGACGCTTGGTGACGCTCGTAGCCTTTCCCCCTCGAAACGAGCCCCAGGCAAAGAACAACGTGCACCTGTCTCTGCCCATCTGAAGACAGTCTTTGAAACGGGAGGCAACCTGCGCACCTTCCTCGTTGCATCGAAGGTTCTGATTTGCTTGTGCCCGAAACGCTCTTCGGATCCTTGCGGCCAGGGCTCCAATCTCCATCGCTTTTTCAGGCGCTTTTGGCAGTGAAACCTCGACTCAGACTTGCGCTTAAACTGCCCAGCAAGACCTCCAGAGGCCGTGGGAAAGGGCAGAGGCTCCCTCTTTGGGGTTTCAAGACAACTCCCTCCAAACAAAAGAGGGGCACATCTCGAGATCTCTGAGCCAAACACAGGAAGCCAAGCTCGCCCATGTTCTCGCTCATGTCTCGGAACTCGTGATTCCCACGCACCAGAAACACCTGCGCAACGGCGAACAAAGTGGCTTTCAGCCCGATATGAGGCGCATTTCGCCGATACGAAATGCAGTAAGGCGGGTAGCCTCCTACTAAAATTCTAGGGTACCTTCCCCATTCTTTCCTGGCATCCTTCCTTCGAAACGCCCACCCAAAGCCCTGGGGATGGGAAAAAAGAATGGAAAAGGAATCAACCAATAGAAAAACGGCTTTGGTCGCTAGGTAAAGCTGGCCTGCACGGGATAGACCACATGCAAAGCGAAAAGGAGCGTGATCACTTCCAACCTCAGGAGGCAAGCGTGGATTGGCTTCCATCGACCAAGCCACGGCGGATGCCCTAAAGCGAGTAAGGAAAGAAGGAACCCATTTTATTTGTGATGTCTGATGGTTTTGTGGTTGAGTATGGTTGGTTTACTTGCAACAGGGCATCCACCTCATAGCTGCATTCTGTTTGCTCCTCCCTTCGAGGCCTTTTCACTGGGGCCCCTGCTGATGCGCACCTCGATCCACAAAATCGCCATTGAACACCTGGCAACTCCAGCTGAGTCGCTACCCGTTCAATCACAAACATGGAAGTGAACGAGAGGGTTTTGGAAAACTTCTAAGGGTTGGTTCCCAATTCTTTTCAACCATTGTTCTTTCCAAAACCGGCCGTTTTCCCTCGATTTCCGGAGGTTTTCTAGAAAGAAGGATCCCTGGAAAGAATGGGGAAGGTACCCCTAGAAAACTACAGTGTTCAATTGGATCTTGGACATGCTGGTTCTCGGCAAACATGAGGAATGACACCTATAAACCATTCCCAACGATTTCCTTTAAGGAGACCCCTGGGTTCATTTCCAACACCCGTCCTCGGTCATTCCCTACCTATTGCACCAGCAAGTTAAAAGATACATCCAACAACCATCTGCTTTACAAGGGGAAGCCTCAAATACTCAGTTGGCAAACGTGACTTGCCAACTGGCTCGGCTCAACTGTATCATAACCCTGTTCAAAGCGCCTATACATTGACACCATTGTTGGGAAACAAGGTGCGTACCAGGGTAAAAGTATATGGCGCAACTCCCTTTCTGTTGGTAAGTGCAGGGGTTGACTAAATCAAAATGTGGGATTTGTGCCATCCGCTTTCACCCAACTGTATCCTTGTCAGACTTGGTCAATCGTTGCCCATGAGCGCACCGCTACGACTTCGACATCACAGCCCATTCTCATTTTGTTTCCCTCAGGGAGACCTTGATGACTCAATAACCACTATGGCCATATTGGACTCAAATGATCTACATGCCGCACCCTAAAGAACCCGAGCAAGAAGTTCGCCCAGGCAGCGTATGACGTGGTCTGAATGTCCCCGCCACCTGAGCCGATCAGAAACCCAGGTCGGCCCAAAGTAGAAATGAGATGATTTCATCCGAGTGGCAGTGAAAAGGTCTACCTCACAGGCAAGGCACATGAATGCGGGGAAGGAGGCACATGCATGCCAAAACACGAAAAAACAATCGCGGCCACAGCGGCCGAAGGTGGAAAACAGCAGCAGCATGTCTCGGAATTGACCATGGATGTCACCAAAGACCTTGCGACCGCTTTGATGTCGAGGAATTGTGTCGTGAAGCTCAGGAGCTCTCACACCCGGCGGATTTCTTGGATGAAAGCTCCAGTGCTGAATCCCAACCAGGTTGGTAACGGGAACGGATTCATCAATCATCATCAATCCCTGGTTGGTAAATACGAGGTCTTGAGAGAGTCGGCATCCTTGCCATGGTTCCCTGATGATCCACTATGTTTAAGGGGTGAACATCAGTGCTAGCTTTGGATTTGTCCGCGGAATAATGATATTCAGGGGTGGCTCCCTTCATTGTTCGCTCCCTTCCCTTCTATGGGGGATCAATTCATGTTTGGACAGCATGGCTTCAACCGGAATCCGAAGTGAGCTTCGGCTTGAAACCCAAGGCTTTGCACCCGCCTTCGCAGGCGCTGTGACCCGCACCAAGGAGGGGTACGACGAGAGTTGGCGGCTGCACGCTTTGGCCAGCTTGCAAATCTTTTCCGCCTGCACGGGGCCGACAACTGCCGATTCATCTGCACGTAGTTCTAATCAGGGGCGATTTGCTCGCCTTCTTTTGAGGGTCATGATCCTCCTTTGCTGTTGGGGGGAGGGGTTCGTGTGACTAGTGGGTGTCCTCAGTCCTCAGTGACAGCAATTGTCTCCCATTTCCGCTTTCAACGGTATGGTCTATGCGCATACCGACACTGCGTTAACATCATAATGGCGTGGGCAGTTTGTGAATCATAGGCGGTGCGATCCTAAAGTCAGAGATTCCCCTGGAATGGGACGCCAACCTTATTTTGAAATCCTAAGATCCCATCCAACACTCCCTGTTCAAAATGCTTGAGCCCGCCAAGAGCACAGGAGTTGCTTGGGGTCAGCCATTCCTCGATCAACCCGGTTTTGAATGGACCTTTGCCAAAGAAAGCAGGCAAACAACGACACTAGGAATCCAAAGTCTTCCCCAAATTTTCTTCAAGCACTATTGTTCCAGGGTCTTCTTGCCAATTTTCTGAAACAAGAACATCCCACCGAGAAAACAACAAAAGAGAGACGCATTGCCCGCTGCCCGAGGGGTTCCTTTTTTTCCGGGAGCTCGCTCCAGCTCCCGAGCTCGCCTGAAGGGACTCGCCTTTGCCGAGCAAATGATCCAGAGCCCCATCCGGCAGCCAGTCCTTGTCCAGCACGTCTGGGCCTCGAGATTTCGGACTGACCCCAAAGAGAAAGAAACAAGGCACATTCTGCTCATTCCAAGGGATCCAGAAACACTAGATGCAGACTTGGGCCACATTGTTCATAGTTATGTTTTGCGAAACCAAGATTCTGCTTTCATGGGTTATCCCAACTGGATGTCCCTGCACTTGGGTTCCCTTTTTTTGGGCCAGACTTCCCAGCCCGTGCCCAAAAGAAAAGAACACCTTTTGGCCGAGTGGCCAAGCCGCGCATCGCCCGACAAGGCCATGGCCTGCGCGATCACCTCGATCGCAGACTGACAAGGGGTTTGGGGAATGAACCTATTGTCCATCCAATCATCTCGCAACTCAATGGATGGATAGGGTCAGTCTAGCTCTCTAAGTCTCTAACTCTCTAAGTCGTCAGCTCTCTCTCTCTCTCTCGCTCTCCTTCTCGCTCTCTCTCTCTCTTGCTTCCTGTGCTTCGTGCGTGCATGGCGATCTCGTACTCCTGGAGGCAAGGCTATGGCGCGGCACTTCCAAAACTAGGAATTGGATCCTCAAGTGCGCCTCTTCTCAGGTGGGTTTTCGTGCTCGCTGGCGGCATCAAAAACCTGCGCATCGGCTCGGGTCCTCGGATTGCCGGCCCACCGCCATGGGGCCGCGCCATCCGCCCACCGCTCGCAAGAGCGGGTCGAGCTCCATGTCCTCGCGCGGAAGAAAAGGGTTGCCCGGCTGAGGCCCATAGGTGTCCTTGGAAAATAGACCCTGGTAGATGAGTGAACCAGGCAAACCAGGAATCGCCCTCTATGTTTGAACCAAACCCACCACGAGGACACCTGTCCATAAACAAGGGGGCCTTTATTTGACCGAGGGCGAGAGGGGCCCCACTTCAACAAACCTGCTCAAATTCGACCCTTAGAGTCAGTTGGCCCTTGTGAACAGGGGCCAAAGGAGGACAGTACCACATTTTAGGATCCAAATGGTCTCGTGTGGACGATCGTTCGATGGCCGTGGCAAAAGCCGCATCTTTCAACTTTGCCAAGCTGCTGCATTCACGGCCTCTGAGCCCCTAAGCCCCAGATGTCACAAGAAGCGCATGGCTCACAAAAAGAGGCTAAGCTTTGGGCACAATGTCGCTTTCGATGCCCTCCTGCAACCAAAAAAACAAGCTCAGGGCGCGAAAAAGAATCGGAAGCTGCGATCGATCCTGGCCTTTTTGGGTTGGTTGGGATGGTTCAAGTAGGCCGACTCGGCCCGTCCATCCAATACAACTCGGCTACCTGGCAGGACTTTAGCAACCTCACTCTCCAGAAAGCGAGGCAGCGCAGTGACCCAGCCTTCCCCGGAGCCCAAGGAAAAAGGACTTGATTCTAGGGGTGGATTCCTTTTCCTTTTTTCCCAACCATCGTCCTTTTCAAACTCCAGCTGTTTTCCCATTGGTGTTTGGTGGTTTGCTAGAACGAAGGATCCCTGGGAAGAATGGGACAGCTACCCTTAGATTGATTGCCTGACTGCCCCATCTCAAGGCACAATGCAACCGGCCTTGAAGTTTAGTGCCACGCGCACCCCGCACCTCGAGCTGAGCCATTGGCAGCGGTCCCTTCGATTCGAGCTGAGCCGAAGGCATTTGCCACGATGTCTTGCACGGAGAGGTATTGCGACTCCAGCAGCTCATTCATTTTGCCCTGCTTCAGGAAAATACCTGGCAGGCGGAAAGTTCCTGCCACGGGAAGGGATCGAGCACTGCGCCTACGAACTCGTCAAGACGGATGGTGTCCTTCACAGTGCCAGTTCAGGCAACTGGCCACCGTACTGGGTTGAAGCTTTCATGCTCGCCATGCTGTGTCAAAACCGGGGGCCATCGCCACGACTACTTGAGCGCTTGAGACTGAACTTCCGTGGCGTCACACAAATTGGTCTTAAGCCCCTATACTCCACAACCATGCGCCACTGCCATGTGGTACCATAAAAGGAGTAGGGATGAATTCCCGCGTCCTTTTTGGACTGAATTTGGGGCAGCAAATGCTCCGCCACCTTGCGCACGTGCCTCGGAGCGGGAAAAGGAAGGGATAGGATAGGAGGGATGGAGTTGAAACGAAACTTTTTGGGGAAGCCTCCTGGGTCGATTTCGCATTCCTTGCAGGGAATCAGCTTGAATAAATGCCCCCAATCGTAAATGAAAATGCTGACGTAAGCGGAAATCAGCGATCCCGCATCATGCCTCAACACTGTACAAAAAGAAGCAACCAATCACATGAGCTGAGCGAATGGCGTGTTACCTGCGCACAAATCGCGCACCAAATCCAACGTCTCCTCACCCGTCAGCGAGGTACCGAATACGCTCCTGGTGCGAGAGTGCCGGGGTGGGTATTCTGTGGTACGGACGAAGGCCTGGTGGCCTCTTCATAGCTTGACATGGATGCAAGGGCCAAACAATTGTCCGACCAAACAGGAAGTATGCACTGTGGACTTTGTACCGCGATTCAGACATCGTGTTTCCGAGTCCTTTGCGCTGGCCGTCTGAGTACCTCACAAGCTGCTTGGCTGAGCACATTTCGGCCAACGTGCCACCGCCGCTCAGGGTCGCACATACTTGAAGTATATCGCCTGAACACCGGTTGTGCCACAAAAGCCAGCGTCTGACCCTGCGTTGCTCTGCCATGATAGTGCCAAATCCGTTTGCGTCCGAGTCTCTCTCAGCTGTATCCTCGGGTTCGACAAGCTACACTCTGCGTGCACAATATCAAGCCGTGTGCGGGAGTTAACTGATCACAAGCAAGCGGCTCTTGGATGAGGTCATTGTGCCTGGAAACTTCATCCTCGTTCACAAAGGCCTGCTGGATTCACGGTGCATATGCATGGTGCAAAGCAGCCGGCTGTGTTAATCAAAGTGACATCTTTAACATTACCCGAGCCGAATGGTCTAACGGGAACTCCTCTCCAAAAGTAATGCTGAGAACCGCTCAAATTGCAACCTTCAAGGACCCAAACAGAACCAGGATGCTAGCAATGCTAGCACCATATCATGGCACGCCTTTGGGCTGCAAAGAGATCGGGAGAAAGCAGTGGAAGCACGCTGACAAGACCGCAGGCAGAGACGTCGCTCGCACTCCCTTGAATCGCCTCTGGCTAGAAATTGCCACCTTTGTAAACTGCTTGGAGATATTATCTTGTTTTGTGTGGCAAGTTGGGCACACAGTTTTACGCACTTGTATGAAACTTGTATGTGTTAGCCGTCGCCCGGAGGAGTTTGCGGACACAAAAAGGAAAGCAGCTCAGGTGCCCTCAAAAAACGGACATACGTCGCCAACTGCTAGGAGGGTTGGGCCAGCAACCTGGCCGCGCATGGGAAAAGAGTTTCAAATGACAAATCACTTCCAATACCCTAATAGCATATTATATTCTAATTTTCCATCAGAGCTGCAAATAAGTCCTCCGGGCGGTAAATCTGGGCTGTGGAAGGCAATGACAAAATCTCATCCCTGTTGGATTCCTTGTGGCAAAATTGTAAACATTCTGGGCTTTCCTGTTTCTGGCTTTGTATGTCAACCGGCCGGAAATCAACGGACAGTGCCCTGCCTCCCGAAGCAACAGATATTCAGCCTTGTCCAAGCGCGCCGTGTCATTGATGTCGCTTGCATAAAACATCGCCTAGGTTGCAAACCTAGGTTGCCTTGGAAGATGGATTTTGAGGGAAGGGTCAAAGTACCTCCTAAGAACTCGTCGTGATGGACAAAGAGATGCCGCGGATGACAGGAATCAAACTGCAACCAGTGTGCCAAAGAGGACACATACCCTCCCTCCAATGATGGAAGTGGACACGGACCCCCGAAAGGAAAGAGTCTTGCCAAACCTTCCTGAAAAATGCCATTGGAGGGAGGGAGGTATGGCCGCAAATTCTTCCCGAAAGTTATTTCTTGTCGGTAGTACGGTAGGAAGGCGTGCATTGGGGGCTCAAGGGGCGGTGCGAACTCAAGGGGCGGTGCTGACGCATGCCGAACAGCGACAGTATCTTGCTCGAAGGACAGACATGGATATGCATCAGCGGGAACCCGAAAATTGGGAATTCCTTTGCTTTCCCTCTCCAAAAGGACACGCCAACATACGTCAGCTTTCGGTTCTGGGGCCATGAGGGACCAGCGTTTCAAAAGCTCACTGGGCAACTGAGCTCGTCCCTCAACAAAAACCAAGACAACAGATCGCCCAGTCCTTGTTAGTGAGGGCCCGCGTTTCCCGCACTCTTTTGTTTGCTGTGCACCGACTCCAAGCGGATCTCGTGGAGGGTAAGTCGCACAAAAGTTTGCAGTCACGTGGAAGTAAGCCTTCACAACTCCAAGCGCCAAAATAGGAAAATGGAGGTTTATCTAAAACATATTGGCCTAACCATGTTTCAGCATGCATGAATCCTGACAAATTGTTTATGAATAATCCCATCAAGTACAGCTACACAACGTGAGCTTCGGATTTGTCCGGAGGACCCCACTACAGTAGTTGCATGACCCCCACAATAACGCAATTTCCTTACCACTAAAAGGGAACATGAACCCACATCTAGTACGGTCCATTTTCTTAAGATCCGAAGTGCTCGTATTCTTTTGCAAACCCAGCAGTTGCTCGGCACACCCTTAACCCAACAGGAGTCATTGGTCTTTCAAATGCCGATCAATGTACTGATGGTATCCTTTGAAACTGCCACTTTTGAGGTGACAAAGCCTGTCCAACCCCACCAGGTCACCCCCCAAAAGGTCACCCCCCAAATGGCCCTCCTTTCCCCTCGCCAAGGCGCGCGGGCCGCCACCCGATCGAAGCCCCAGAGCTGTGACGCTGCGGCGACAAACATCTCCTCCGTCAGCAGCTCCTCCTGGCGATGGGTGTTAGATAAAATGTGTTTCTTTGGTGTTGCTTGTATTTGTCATTACTATTCTTATGTTGTCAAATAAGAATAAACTATTATTGCAGTTTAGTATTACAAATAACTATTACTTTAAACAACAAAGTGAACACAACAAGTTGTTATTTTTGGTAAAGTGTCTTCTGATAGCTTAGACCCTGGACACCCCCACCCAAACTGGGAACTTCGAGGTGCTCCGCTTGGTTTCCAAATCAAAACCACAGCAAAATGTACCCTCAAAACAAAAAGACGGACCTCTACATTTCAGCCTGCTTTGGGCGGTGGCAAAGCCTAGGTGGGTATGTCGCTAAATTGGGGGGACGCCAAAGTAGAGCGTTTCCTGTTGGTTTCCAATTGAAAACACAACACAAACGGTAACGTGGAAAAAAAAGGCAAATATGGAAACAACTCGTCCCTAGCGTGCCGCTCAAAATAGGCTAGTTAAAAACAACAAAACTCATGTCATGAGAAGCTTAGAATTGGGTTAGCTACTTGACAAACATAGTGTTATACAGGAGTACGTAGTTCCTTCAAAATCCAAGCTAAAGACGGGGTCCGGCATTTTGAGAAAGGCTGATGGCATGAACCCATATACGAAGCCACCATACCATTTAGCCCTTTTCACCATGCCATTTGGCCCATTTCACCAAATGCCATACTCCCTTGCCTATTCAGTTCTAGAGGAAACCCTTGTGGGGAATGGACCACTCCTGGACCACCCCAAGTTTGCCTAAGCTCTAGGGAGCCAGGACATTCTCCTCAAGGTTGTGGCTAACTTCTTGCCTCTTGTTTACATCCCCAGTTCGGTCTTTAGGGGGGGGGGAGGGTAGGGTAAAGCCTTCACTCAGGATAACCCCGAAAGCGGGGCGGTCCAATACCGATCACTTCATGAATGCCCAAACAAGTCCAAACGTTTTTGTTCGCCACCAAAATGGTCTTCCCAAAAAGGTGCAAGTCCGGGAACTCGAGCAGTGAGATCCATGGCCAAGGGGCTCTTAGAATTGAGAATCCTGCTGGTGAGGACCCTGCCCGTCCAAACCTAGGCGACCTCTCAATGGGATTCAGGGCTTCGGATTTTTTGGCTAGGTGCCTCTTTCCAAAAACTGAAGGCTGAAGCAAGAGATCAAGAGCATGCCCCACAACGGAACGCCCCTCACGGCCAGTAACTATAGTTCCTGCAATCTGTTTTCTCCTTCAGGACATGCATGTTATCACCAGCTTTGGGTCCAGGAAGCTTCAGTCCTCTGAGTTGGCAGACCACTGGATGCCTCGGACCAAACGAAAGCAACGACGATTCTTTTCAACAGCCGGCGGAGGCCAATCGGCGCATTTGCAAAGGAAACTGTCGTCCAACACAAAAAACACACCCACATCGCCCTCTGACTTCGGCCATGGATCCAGGCATGGCTAGTGGAGGACCCCTGGCGTTGAAGCCAGGGCTTCCACCTAGGGGTCCTTCACTTCTAGGAACTGCCGAGGGAGGGTCTGAGACAAGCCACGGTCGAATTCCAGATCGGACTCGATGCCTTCCTGCGAGCGTTGAGTCTTGAGACCTCAGCTCGCAAAGCTCAGCCCAGTTTGGACCCAGAACTAAAGTGGATCGCCTTTTGGGGCCACTAAAAATAGACCAAGGGGAGACAAAACGTCAAAAGGTTGGATTTGGACAAGTGGGCAAGGGGAGCAATGAGAACTTGCAATAGTCAGGAAATCCGCCGCATCTTTTCTCGGCCAATCCCTTTCAAGGCGCCAACGGCGAAATTAAGCCCACCAAATTTCAGGTTGGCCCGCAAGGGAAGTAGACAAAATGCGTCCAAGCAAAAACAACAACGTAACATAGCAGCTATAGCACATGCCAGGTTCCCTGTTGAATCGTGCCAAAGGAAGGATCACGCTTACCTTTCCTGACTCAGGATGATCGCACGCTACTAATGTTTTAGATCTCCACCCCTTCGTCCCAGAAGAGGGCACTATGCTTGACTACCACCCATGTGTGTGTTTAAGGGAGCGTCCGCTGTTTTGGAGCAGAGTTCAGTGACCCAAGCATGTCCAACCCCTTGTTACAACATGTGATGCAGATACTAACCTTGAAACGGCCTGGCAAGTTTGTTGAAACTGATGTCGCCACCCTGTTGCAAACTCATGTCACACTAACCGACACCAGTGCCCATCGCCAAGGGCGCCTGTTACCCATGCCATGAGGCCAATAGCCACTGGCTAGCGAGGGAGGGGGAACCTCCAAGACAATCTTGACCCCAAATAATCAAGCCCAGTTTACTCATATGTTCCCCTCCAAAAGTGGTCTGAATCCCCACTAAACCCATTTGGACACCCCTCCTACTAATAAACAGAGAATGAACCAAACTATCCGGGGTCAACATAAACCAAGACACCCAGATTCTGGAGCACTTCCTCCACATTCACACGGCTGCTGATCCGGTTGTCCGCCATCTCCTGCTCACTCCACTTTGCTTCTCTTCTGCCGCCCGAGTCACCAAAACCCATGACCCAACAAATCGACGAGGATTTTGATAAACCGAACGGGAATGGGTACAAGCGCATGCAGGCAGGTCCAAAGCTATTTTCAAGCACGCTGCTACCGCAAGCTGAGGCTACCAACCTTGTAAAGGGAGTATGTACTGTTTGAACCAGATCGAGCTCAAACCCAACGCTCTTGAGTCCCATGGCGGCATCCAAGACATGTGTCTCCAGACGAAGCTCCCTGCCTGCACCGGTCTGTAGGGCTCCTCAGCTGGCTATTTGCTTACCTAATGATAGTGCCGGTCAGTAGGGGCTCCACAGGGGTTTGGGAATAAACCGATGGGCTCCTTATTCGCAAGCCAAAAGGGCCGTTTTATAGGGGTCTTTCCCTCATTCCCTGAGAAATTGAGCTCATGGATGGTTCTAATTACCATGGTTCTGGTTCTTCACATTCATGGAGAGTGGAACCGCATAAACTTGCCAATGATTGCCAATGGCGGTGTTGGACGCATTGAAATCAGGGATGGGAAGAGGCAGGATGCCAGTCGTCACGCAATGACTCACACAAAACAGACTTGTTCAAAAGCTGAAGACATGAGAGAAATAAGAAACAAGAAACCAAAAGGGATCATAGGGAACCCTAGCGCTGAACAAATTTATAATTCTGATTCCCAGCTGGCCCTCAGCCCTCCACTTCTTGGACAGCTGAACAAACCGCTTTGTGTTTTGCCTTTTTGGGTGCTTTTGATCTCCTTGTCGGTTGATTTTGGCAATGGGTTTTCGAGAGAGTAGCCAAAGGGGCGACCACGATTCGGCATCAAACATCAGGCAATCCTGTCTCTCCAAGTCATTTACGGGAGTATGGACCCCGTACTAGTTTGTTTAGGGGTTGATTCCCCACTCTTGCCAACCACCACCACCCCACCCCCTTTTTGTGTGAAGGAAACCCATGCACAAAACAACCCCTGGAAAGACTGGTTGGGAGCTTCCCCCAGAGTTTTTTTGCGGGATTCCAAGACCAGGGTCTCGCTCTAGGCCCACGCCTTTTCTGCACATCGTGCATCGAGTGCCAAGGAGCGAGGGCATTGCTGGGCCCGGGCTTCCCGAAATTCGCCATCCCTGGTGCGAGAAGTAGGGAACGTGAAAACATGAACCGGTTTTGGGAATTTCCTTAAAGGAAACCGGTTGGATAACCTGTTTTGGGGGATTCCTGAATAAAGGAAACCACCCAGTTGGGAATGACCCCTATGAAAACCCCTTGTGGGGATGCCCTGAAAGGAAACCACCAGTTGGATGGTTCATAGGGGTCATTCCATTTCTCCATTCCCCGAGCACCATCAAGAAACATGAAGGACGTGCTTTGGGCGCCAAAGTCGCACTGGTGAATTGCCCAGGTACCGTTGGAGTTGATTGCGTCTGTCATTGCAGGACAATGCCACACACTCCCAGGGTGGGTAAAAAAGGATGGAACATCAAAATGGGGCAAGCCCTGGTAAATGAAAACAAGGACACAAATTCCATCAGTTCCCTGATGGGATAAATTTCCCACCCATACCCAAATTGACCACCCTCAAAATTCACACCATGCATCCAGTAAAACCTTGGGCAGCCCTGTCTAGGTTGAGAAACATGGGGTGCCGGATCCCGAATCCATAGTGGGACGGCCCTACAAGGAATGCATGGAATGGTTTGGTGGTTTTCCCAGCTTCCCTGTGCAAGGGAAAGCATGTCCGCAGTGAAGACCACAAATCCGCCATCCTCGCACAAAACATTCCCAACACTCACACCAAGTATGTCTTCTTAAGCGCAAGTCCCTCCCGTGATCCTGGCACATTTCGTGACATCAGGCTCTTGAACGGTGAAAGCCCTGCCTGCTGTCGTCTGAGGAGTTATGGCATGGCAGTTGGCTCTGGAAATATCTGGGCAGCGAATGTCATGTGAGTTGGCTGAGGTGCAAGTTGTTCGCCCTGCAATTCTGGCTTGGCCTTCGTATGCGATTGCATTCAGATCAACTGACATCTCATGGTGCGGCCTCTTCAAGCCAAAGTCTCAGGCGAAAAGTTGCCAAAAACTTGAGTTGAGCTGGGGATGTGGTACGCATGGCTAAGTGGCCTGGGAGGATCTATATATATATATATACTATTTCTCTCTACATTCCATCCAACAAGTGCGTTTCAGAAACCAACTCCAATGGCGATGAGTCAAAGCTTGACCCTTCAGCGTCCAGTCTCGCAAAATTCCAGTGCCCAAGCTGGATCCGCCACAATCCAACCACACACACCCGAGCCCAAGTGAAGGAAGTGCAAATGTGTCGCCCGAATGTCTCAGTAGCAACTTGGAACAAATCTTCCGGTTTGTTGCAGGCACGGCTTCTTAGTCACCACTGAGCTTTGCCACATCTTGCTAACCCCCGCCCAAATGTTTGTGTTGCGGTTCCATGCGGTTCCCTGTATTTTCATGCATCCCCGTTTGGCGCCGGAACGAAAGCTTGACCGGCACCTGATCTGACCCAAAGCGCATTTCACGTGGCTGCTAGCAGGCCTGGGGTACGACCCGGAGCGGTTTCAACATCCAACTAGGTCCTCCACTAGAGAGGTTAGAACAAGGGTACCAACTTGTTTCTGTCTATTTTAGTAGGGGAACCCTCCCCCAAAAAAGAAATGGTAAAAGGGCACTACTGGGGGACCTAGTCCAAGGGTGCCACACCCCGAACGCCTCGTCCCAAGCTGCCGTGCCTTTTTATTCCCCGGCCATGGCGCGCGAGGCGTGCGCTTGTTGGCGCGCGCCCAGCGCAAGGAGTCACAATCAAACCCTTGACTGAGTCAAGTATGTAAAGAATCAGAAAGATGGCACCCTTTTTGTGGCTGTCCCTTGCTAACCTTCACTTACCCCGGTTCTGATTGTGGCTCTGGGCTGGAATCTATTGCCTCTCACCGACGAAGGGTGAAGAATAGCCCAAGGAAGCCAAAGACACACCCGCACCTCGGGCGGAAGTGGGACTCCAGGAGGTGGGCGCCATGCCGCAAAAGAGCTCGGGACAGGATTTATGACCGCTTGAGTAGTCGGAAATGTCAGAGCCCTCCGCAAAGGGCGACAGAGATTCGTGAAATGCAGCGTCCAAACCGGCCATTCGTTTTGCTAAAATAACACCTAGGTCCGGAAGAGGATTCTAATTAGTATCCATGTGGCTCACTGGCATGTGCCCTTAAAACAGCTTTGTGCATAGGCATTCTAGATGGGCCCCACAAACAAGGATACGTTGAGAACTTAGATCGAGAATCTGCTTCTGGCATGCCGGCATGCCCATGGCGTGTGCGACTGCCCGGCACTCTGCCAGGGTGCATGGCCAAAAGCACTTCCACAGCAGCATAACTTCTGCGTGGCCAGCCCTTCAGCCGCCGAAGCCCTCGAGACATCAGCGCCGGCGAAACAAAGACCTCAAAGCGAGTGACTTCTCATGAGCCAGGGCATGGGAAATTCAGCGTCCCAATTGTTTGGTGCGAAGAAAATAAGTGAGCCCCTTGGTCTTTTGTGCGAAAATTCGGGAGACCCTTTGTTTTTGTGCGAAAATTCGGGAGCCCCGGGGTTTTGGTGGGAAATGAGTGAGTTCTCCGAAATCCCTCTAAAATGGACCAGAGTCGACCGCCCTTTTTTCTGTAGTCTATTTTAGTAGGGGAACCCTCCCCCAAGAAAAAAACGGTAAAGGGCACTACTGGGGGACCTAGTTTGAGCGACCTCACTGGCAGCCTCGTCCTGGCCACGTTGAGGTTTTGGGTCAACTGAGGAAGCGGCAAGCTCCCCTTCCATTACTTGCCGCGCGGCGGCAAACTTCCACGCATTAGAGGGGGATGGAATTGAGTGTGTTCCCACAACTGCGAGTGAACCAACCACATCCATCCACAAATCCGAGGCTTCTGGAGTAAACACAAACAGGCTTCCCAACTGGAGCTCGTCACTCAAGCACCGCGCCAAGGCAAAAAAAGTGCCGGTCTCCTGGACCAAAACGAAACCAGGCGGTTCGCAATTGAAGCTGCCTCAATCACCAATCCAAGCCAACAGTTTTGTGTGTGTTTCGCTTTGAGGATACCCTTTATGTGTCCAAAACTCATCTTCCCTCTACTTGGTGGCATTGGGTTAGGTTCAGGGCTGGTTTCTCACACTAAGAACCCAGGGTTCTCCAAATCCCCAAGCCAAATCCAAACCACCAAAAATCAAGGCAACCTGACCACCCCACTGAGTTGCCATGGGGGTTGCGGCGCTCGCAACAGGTCTCCAACCCCTTTGCGGTGCCAGGCGCAATGAAGCTGCCGAAGATGGAGCCCACCACGGCTTGCACTACTCCGATGTCCTGGAGAAAACAAACGAAAACACCACCTGGTTGACTCACGTGTAGTGACAAGCAGGGGATCCCGAAGATGGTGCATCTTTTTCAGGGGAACACCCCAACAAATAATACTGGTTGACTCATAGATCCCCTAGACTAGGTTCTCCAGTAAAGAGGTTAGAAAAAGTTGGTACCAACTTTTCTCTGTAGTCTATCTTAGTAGGGGAACCCTCCCCCAAAAAAGGGTAAAAGGGCACTACTGGGGTGACAGAATGCACGTAACGGTCTGTATGAGTATGCGGGGGTTTACGACAGGTTAGCAGGAATCAGTAGTTCTCTGTCCTCACAGCTCTGCATCCATAGTCTCACCGTCTCATATTTTCTGCACATGCACTTTTTTATTTCCTATGTGTCACGCTTCCTTTCGACCCCGCGCGTTTCATCCTGCCCCAAAGCATATTTTTCATTCAGGCTGCCACAGCCCGAAAAGCCTTGGCGAGCAGTCTGCTATATACACATATATATATATACACACTAGAGATGTGCAACATGGAGGTGTTCATCCGAGTCCTTCAGCACTGCTGCAGCCCCGCTGGTCACCTCGGCTTGCGGAGCTCGTCCAAGACTTCGAGGGCTTGACATCACGCTGGCTCGAAGCTTTGACCGCTTCGCCACAACTCGGACAAAAACTCGGATGGCACCAAGAAGCGACTGTGCTTAAACGCAGCGACACCTTCCAATTCTGATGGGTTTGCAGCTTGGGAGCAGCCAATAAGGCAGCCGTCAACCATCGTAGCTGGTTTCGCCCCAGCGACTCAGATCCACTGAGGGCAGCCGCAACCTCAACCCGGTGGGCCGATTCTGATACAACGTCGTCGTGTGGGACATGAGTTGAAATTGGAGACCCTTTGCCCATCATTTAGGTGGGGTGTATGTCCACAAACCATTTTGCAGGGCGCGGTATCGTTTTTGAGGGGCCTTTTTTTGGGGGTGGCTTAAAGGAAAACCATCAGGAAAACCAAAAGGAAAACCACGATTTTGGGTGGTCCGCGGTGTATGTCCAGCCATTTTTCAGGGGTTTCTCAATTTAGATTCATAGCATGGAAGTACCGGCCTTGTTCATACCGGTTCCACTTTTGGTGAAACCGGCATGAAAAACTACAAACCGTTTGGGGTTCATTTACCCAAGATATCCCAAGATATTCACGAGAACACCCCAGAGATCAGCATTTATGCTAGCAGAGCTCAAGTCCCCAGTACCGGGGCCAATGGATTGATCCCGATGCAGCACCAGGGGCTTCAGTGCGCAGCAGGATGAAGTTCAGCGGGTAGCCAAAGAGGATGCTCACCATCACCCCGAGTTTACCCAAGGAAGCTGCCTGGCCGGTATGCAACTTGCGCTTTTTTGGCACCTCGCCAATCGGTGTGCTTTTTCCGCAGCCTCTGCGCCGACCCACCCCCCGCACTGGCACAAGGCGAGCACGTGGGATTGTGGTTTTGCTGAGGGTGCCTTTTGTTCGGCTGTTTCAAGGGGAAACCAAACGACATCGCCCCATGTTGGGGTCTCTTCATTTTGAGGACCCAGTTTAAGCTGCGGTCAACATGCCTTGCTTCTACAGCAAGTGGGACAATGCTTGTGTGTTCTCGGATTTAGCGGGAGTTAGTGAGTCGCCCCTTCTCCCTCCGAGACCAAAAAACCCAGCGACTTTTGGACCCCATGAAGCCAAGTGGTGCAACCTACCATGGCCCTTGAAAAATCGATTAGTTTCGGGCGATGATCTTGGTGCCTTTTTAGGGGTACCGCGATTTTGGATGGTGAAAGGCAAAACGACAGGACACCCTCCATTTTGGGGGGTTCCCCTATGACCACCCAGAACTGGTGGTTTCTCCTGTTGGCTTCCCCACAAATGGGACGGGCAACGGTACCAACTCCAAAAACAGGTTCCCTGCGATGACAGACCCAAACAGTTGCAGCCGTTGTCATATTGGTTTCCTTTAAAACCACAAAACGGACGGGTGCTTTCCAAAAAATGACAGACCCACATTGCAGCGAGGGGCATGGTCCATGCCGGAGTAATTCGAGAGAAGCAGTCCGCTGGCGCTGGCGCCAAAGGTCTTGAAGCCAGCCGCCATCAAGGCCTCGGAGGCCGGCGTTGTGTTTCGCTTTTGGGTTTTGCTTGTTGGTGTTGTTTTCCTGTTCTTTATTCTACGTGATCCCCCCTTTTTTTTTGGGGGGGGGTTGGGAAGCTTGTGAATGGTTATTTAGCAATTGTAAGGGTCCTGATTGACTTCTGGGCCTCAGGGCCCTTGAGGGGTCGGGGTTCTCCGTTGGAGGGGGGTGTGCATTGGAGGGGTTATGAGCCTACGGACCCAGAATTAACGTGGAACCCAAGCAGGAGCTTCGTTAAAAGAGCTTCCTCTAAGATCTGCGGTTTTGTTTTTAACCAAGGGAAACCAGAGGGGAACCAAAGGGACACCAGCTGATGAAGCGTCTTGGGGTCGATAGGCCTAAATATGGTAATGTGAGGCAGCTTTCGGGAGGGTTTCGGAGGATTCCTACCTCCTGGGCCCTGGGCTGCTTTATTTGTTTTAAGTAGGGGGGTCCCTACCCTACCTGGAGTCTCCAGGACCTTCAAACATGTGATCACCCAAAATAATGGGGCCATGGAGTCCCCTTTCAACATCACCCCAAAAGGAAGCTGACTCCAGCTTGGCCCAATGGCCAAGAGGTTGTGTTTCAAACCAAAAGCGCTCAAAAAACAGAGTTGAGCCCATCTAAAGAGAAAGGCATGGCACTCGGCGGAAAATATGGTACAACCAAACACGGCTCAAGCATGCTAAGGTGCTACAAAAGAGGATGTTTGACTCTTGGCGGGGTGAGAAAGCGGGGGCATGTGGGGAAAAACAACAAGGGGGTCCTTTCCCAAAAAACGATTCCTCTACACAGAGCGTTTTGTTCGGTTCGGCAGGGATGTGTGCTGACACGGGCTGTAGCAGGAATCTCCCTTCCCAGAGAAATGGGAACAACCGAGTAGAACCTTTGGCTGGACGGGCTGCCAGTCCTTCACTCCGCCTCATTCTTTTCAAGTTCCCCAAGGACACCCTAAAGAACTGAAGAACACTTAGCCTACAAAGTGCCCTTGAAAACCATTAGCGCTCAACCACGCCAAAGGGGGAAGCTACCCACATCATGGAAACTTTTTTATTAATCAAGGGGGATGTGCTCATTGCGCAGCAAAACCTGCAGCCTTACTGCAACAGCGACGGTGTCATTGAAATTGTCGGCTAGACGGCATTGGCCAGGCTATGATTGAACATGTGAGCCTCGCTGTACCACTCGATCATGCTGTGGCCATCGCCATGCAAAGGTTGTCAAACATGTTGAGCACACAAAACACAAAGTCCACTGATTGAAGACAGTCCCTCTTCCTCACCCACTTTCAGCCAAGACTACTTGGAAGGCACCCTGCAAAGTTTGGGAAGATTACACCCCTCATCCGTTTTTTGTACCCCTCATCCGTTGTTTGCACCCACTACTGTACGGCCCTGATTAAAACGCCCATCACTGCCGCCAAACGATCCCAACAATGAAAGCAAGCAAGTGTTTGATGTGCCAAAACTATTGGTTTTTTTTGCTAACGCTCCAAGGGTTGCCCTTGCAAATCTTGATGCAAAAAGTTTGCAAAAAGCAGCAAGCTTGCTGCATTCCTACTACAGTATGAGCCAATCAAGGTGACAGGCTCACAAAGAGGTCTGTCCCGCATCAAAAATACACAATCCCCTGATGAGTCATGGTCCCCTCCACAGGAAAATGACGAAACATGCATTTCCTGTGACTTTCCTGTTGGAGTCCTATTGGCCAGACTAGGTAAACATAAGTAAGACTAAAAAACAAAAAGTAAGACAGCTGAAACTGCTTTCGTACCAATATTTAATTGACATCTGTCAAGTCTTTCTCAGCAGAACCTGTTCAAATAGATTGAGAGTAACAATACTTGTTTGAATCTGTCAAGTCTTTCTCAGCAGAACTTGTTCAATCAGATTGACTGAGAAATATATAGCTCGTTCAGTTCATCTTGGCTATGGCAGGGGGAGGAGCGGATCTCAGGGGGGGTCCGGGGTACCCAGATTTCGCACATGGCGCTTGTCGACCTAATACCCCACCATGCCCCAAGTTGGCGAACAGCGGCTAACACCTTTCCAGTCTCTTGGTTGCAGTTGATCCCTCTGCACAAAGTTTGACTTTTTGTAGGTTTAGTGGTAAACCCCTTGATTTCTCAGAAAGTTAAAGTCTAAAGATCAACGCAATAGCAGTCAAGGTCTGACACAAGGCTTTGTCGGGCCACTTTTGCTTTCAAGCTCACCCCAAAGGCTCCGAGGCTCGGAAAAAATGGACGCCGGGGCGCGGTGCAAACGAAGCCTGCGACCCCGAAGGCGCCCAAGACTGCCTGGGAGGCAAGCAGAAAAGAACTGCACGGGACCGCCTTTGGGCGATAAGGCAGCCTCAAAGCATATGAAGTAAAATAGCCACCGGGAATAGTAAGGGTCGAACAAATGGCTCAGTACTTTGCTCTTTTGGGAAAATTGATCACTTTCGGATGGACGTGGTTGTCTCCAAACAAGAAGTATAAGCGAATATAAGCGGACCCCCCTGTTCTTTTTTGAGGGAGTCCGATTCTACATTGGCTCCGGATCACTTTTTGGGCCACACAGGCACTAATCCGAGTCCAAGGTTCAATATTAGAACCTGCTGACCTGGCGCATGATGGGTTGTGGTTTAATCATGGCTTAGACTAGCTTGGATCCTGCATTTCATCCTGTCTGATAAACCCAGCGGTGTCCAATCAAGATTGTGAGTCTGAATCTCAATCCACAAAAACGTGTGGCAATTCCTAATCACCTTCATGGTCGATGCGTTGGCGGCTAACAACTGGCAACGCGGCAAATCACAGCTCACTTCCTGAGTGGATTGGCCAAAACCAGTCCAAACTTTTTATTTACCGTTGAAATGGTCTTCCCAAAAAGTTTGAAAATGTTTAAAGTCATGAACTCACGAAGTGCGACAAAAGCAAATTTGTTAGGGATCCGTTTCGGTGTCCGTGAAGAAAAGCGCCTCTTTGGGGCTTCGGTCCGTGAAGAAAAGCGCCTCTTTGGGGCTTCGGACCCAAACTCGCCATGGGCTGGCAAGCAATTGTCTCCCTTCCAATGGGGGAATTTGTGGCATTCCAGCACGTCCAAACAACTTACGGCTACACACCTCCCTTCACCCGACCCCTTTCAATTCGGAAGATCAGCGTCACTAGGCCCAACCAGTTATTCTATATACACTGGTTCATCCTCGCCAGGCTGCCAACCTATATCGTCTGAGGGCTTGAGAGGATGTGTCCGCTCCCCTTCTCAGCTCCTCGCGAAACGGTACGCGAAGCGCGGCGTGCGCTGTCAAAACACCAAACATGGACCTCTGTCCTTCGGGTTTTTGTGCTCAAGAACTCGCCGCAAAATCTACAAGTCAGCCTCCCTGAGATGTGGCATGGTTGGGGCCGGCCGCTGACTTGGCGGACCAAACGAAACAAGGGATGACCTTGACAAACCGTCGCTCCTGGAATGTGGGTGGCGCCATGCCGTGGTTCATGTAAGCCTGGCGAGGTGAGTGATGTGCTGTCATTGGCCCTGGTTTCAGAAACTTTCGCACGCCAGTCCTTTGCTTCCAAGCTCAATTTTTACAGGAAATGGTTGCGACAAGGCGGAGGGAATGACCGGATCATCATGCCTGCGACTGCAGATGTACACAAAAGACTTGGATGATTTCCGCTGGTGCCGAGTGGCGGTACTCACATTGGACAGGAAAACCAGGGCCCGAATGTTCACTGCATCTGCAACCTTTCCTCAGGCATCAGCAAATCGGCCGAAAGAAGGCGAATCGGATCCGGATGCCCAAAATATCCAAAATATTGCAAGCAAGGGAACCAGGAAGTCCAAGCCACTGCAATGTACCAGTGGTCTGTGGTTGTGTTTTGTTGGGCAAGGTTTGTCTCACTTGCAACCTGCAAGGTCCGTGGCTTGTCGATTCGGACGTCGAAACCAAAAAGGGGCGACGGCTCGAGACGTGTCTTCTCTTTTGCCAAAGCTCTGGCCCCAACCAGCGGAGTGGTTCCATAAGGGGCGGAAGGGAAGAACTGCCCTCCGGGAAGATAGCTGCCATCCTGAGTCCGAGCGGAAAAAAACCACTCGCTTTTCAGGAATTCTGACCCAACCTCAGGTACCCCACTGCTTTTCGTGTCGATTTGCCGTGTCAGGACTTCTGACCCAACCTATAACCTGAACCCTGCCCTTCAAATTCCAGTGATCGTTTCCCTCGTGCCCAGTGCCCCTTGGCCAAGAAACCTTCACCGGAATGTCGAACGCATGGCAAATCCATGCAAATCCTTTCTTCCATCCGAGCGGCAAAGGCTCTGGTGATGGCAAAGAAGGCAAGGTACACGCCTCGAACGTCTCTTCGACTTCGCCAAAGGAGTTGCTTTTTGACCGAATCCGAATGAACTGCTCTGCCCATGTCGGACCTGGAAAGGAGATCGTTGACTTTTTGGAACCTCTCGGACATGGGAACCCAAACCAGGGAAACGAAAAGTGATGGGAAACCTCTGAACTTGGGAACGTCATAGGTCGATTCGCCTTGAACTGTGATAACCTGGAGCCAAGTAGAATCCCTTGAATGGGCCTGTAACCAAGGCAGAATCCCGGGCTTTGCCGCGGAGACAAAAGGAACATAGGGCGGGTCGACCATATTAAGGGTATTAAAGAGGGTCCAAGACTCTCAAAAGGCCAGAAAAGACTCCTCCCAATTAGCTGGATGATTCAGAAACCAAAGGTTTCTAGGGGGTTCGTATTGAAGAGGGTAGCCCAAAAGTGCTAGGATTCCTGCCAAACGGGAACTGAAGGTAAATAACTTGCTGGTGCTCAGTGGGAATGACCCAAAGTTTTCAGAATGAACCTAGGGTTCCCCTTTAGGGGAACGATAATAGGGGAGCGCCTCGAGGGGTCATTCCCTCATTCCCTGCCTACTTAACCAGCAAAACAAACCACGTCACTTGATGATTGCAGTTCCATGTTATCTTGGCTATCCGCTGCGTTCTTTTTCGTCCCGGGGTCCCCGGCATGCAACCAGCCCAAGCAAGGAAGTAAAGGCCAGGCTCCTGAGTCAATGCACGGTTGGCGACACATACTGTGGACGGAATCCGTTCGCACCACCTAAGAAAACATGGAAAGCCGTTGTGGATTGGTATCTACAGGGGGGGTCGAATCATTCCAGCGTTTCTTAGGTGTAGGAGTGCGTCCATCCACCACCGAACCTGAGAAATGTTGAAGCTGCGGACGGCGGCCACATTTGGCTTGAAACAGCTATAAAGGAGGAACTGCATAAAACGCGCCAGTTTCACGGCAGTAGCACGACACGACTGCACCCCTTGCTCCAAGGTGCGAGAAGTCTTCGGCCAAGCAAAGTGGGAGCAAAACGAAGCAAGTGATGCTGACCAGCACGGACCCACGCGAGCAAAGCACTTTGTAAGCTCCTGGCATCGGGCTTCTCAGCTTCGGGGGGTCCTCAAAATGGGTGGCTTCCTTTTGGCCTCCTTTGCATGACCAATGCCAAAGGAGCTTCACCGTTTTAAGAGAAAGTCCCATTCGTGTCAAGAGCCTGGTGGGAAGGGACACCTCTTTTTCCCTAAGGCCCTGCATGGTCAGGTTGCGCATTGGTGGGGCACAAATTGCCTTCCATCTTTGCTTGCCACAATGGATGTTGAGACCTTTCATAAAAAAGGCCCACCGCTCTTCCAAGCCCCAACATGTTCATTCGTCACTTTCTGGTTCTCGGGACTGGGGAGCCAGAAAAAAGAAGCCGCCCGGGGTGCTCACAGCTCATCAAGCGGTCGAATGCCTGCAGCAGGCAGTGCGTGGTGCAGGAAACCTGACACTAAGTCTCCAAGGATCATCGCCTCAGTGTGCGATCCACCCAATGCCAGGGAGGGGGTGGGGGGGCAAAAACATGGTGGTGTCCCTTTTACTCGCCCTTGAAAGCAAGGTGAAGAGGGTACCCTCAAAAAACACACACGACACACACTCCCTCAGAAGAGCCTTGCCGCGGGCGACACGGGAGACTGCCAGGCCAAGCATCCGACGTATACAGTGCAGGTGATGCCAGAGAGTATGCCTAGGCATGCAAGGCTGACCCGGCGCGGTGGAAAAAACTGTTTGCCCCCGCTTCGATGAGAGTCCTGAGCCCGGCGATGCTTTTGGAGGGTGCCCCAATCCCATGAGGCTTCGCGTCTTGTGATGCGACAGCAAAAAGAAAGGGTCACTCTTGGATGGCTTTGAAGAACCGCAGCCATTCCAGGGGCTCTTACCTCTTAATTGGGACACATGGTGATTCTCCTGAAGTTCTCACACATGCCTGGGAACCCCGGGTTGAGGCACAGAAGTCAACCACTTCTCACCACTTCAACATGGGTACCCCCTCCCTTCCACTAACATGGCAGCTCTGGGAGGGTACTGGGAAGATTGGTTTCCTCAAGGGACCCCATGTTTGGTGCTATGTGGCTGCGGGTCAAAAAATAGGTACCCAAAATGGAACCCTGGAAAATGGAACCAAGGACTAAAACCTGCACTCCCTCGGTGGGTTTATTTTGACCCGTACCCATGTTAGTTGGCGGGGGGGTCTCCGAAAACGCGACGTCGCCCATGGCCAAAGTGCCCACTGCCAAGCGCGGCATCCATGAGGTCTCCTCTCCCACCGTAGCGGACCAAGCGGTGCCAAAGTCTTCGGTGCTCGTCTCCTTGGGATCGGATCGAAACGGAGTCGCTCAAATGGCCCCTGTTTGCCAACTCGCCTGGCTTGGCCAAGTCGAAACTTCGTGCTTAAGCTTGAAGCCAAAAAAACTTGGGGGGCCATGATTGCTATGATTGGCCAAGTGAAAGCTGCGTGTTTACTTAAGTGGCTTTCTCGAAAAGCTTGAAGCCAGGAAACTTGGGAAGAAAGCCAATCATGGAAGTGGACAGGGGACCTTTTCATCCAGATTGTAGTCTTCCCAAGCTTCTCGCATCATTGCTGAAAAGGGGCAATTTAGCACACCTTCGTTATTGCTTCACTTGCGACATCGGTGCGGCCACCCCTCTGCCACAAAGGTTCCGGGGCCGGTTTTCCCGTCCAAGGTCAACTTCTGCTGACAAGTCGCTGAGCTGATCTTTGCAACCATCTGGAAGGTGTAAGCGGCCAGCCTCAGGCTCGTGCCAATCGATCTGTCCATCAAGGGCACTTCCCCGAAGCTCTTGGCGAGGGGGTTTAGCAACTCGACTTAGCTACTCAGGGGTCAACTGCATGCAGCCATCACAAATAGTCTTCGAGCGATGCATGACACGTCACTATTCAGGAATTGAAATTCCAGAAAGCACTTCCAAAGATACTGAAATAACTACATGACACCAAAGGCTTTTATGAAGGCCTGTGCCGCCGCCGCTTTCCCTCCATAGCCAACGACAGTAAATAAAAGCCAGCACGATTCACAAGCTAAAAATAGGACAAGTGCAGGTTATCTGATTCACCACTTGGGTTTTTGGCCCAAATCCTCTTGAAGGGAAGCCAGGGAACCCCCCCCCCCCCCCCATTGATCCAAGGCCTAAAAGTCCCAAAGAGCCCGTTTAGCCTCTTTCTAATTTTGGACGGGCTTTCCAAAAGGAAAGCCAAATAACCCTCCCACCTGGCATCCTGAAACCTGGCAGGGCCCCGGTCATGTAAACGAAAAGGCGGGAGGCTAGTCTTCCAAAACCCGGATCCGCTTCTGTGATTGGAGGCTAGGTCTAAACTGTCATTCGGAATGCCCTCTCCAGGCCTTGTGCACCTAGACCAAAAGGTGACTGGTTGAAAAGCCAAACTTGTCAACAGTTTAAACACATTGAACTACCTTCAAAAAGAACAAGCTAAGAACAACTCAGTTTCCCCCCAATCGGTGGTTTGGATTGGTGGCTGCTTTTTCCCCTTAACCCCCTGCAAAATCCAGGCTTCTTAAATCCCCCAACCCACCAAATCCAAACCACCCAATAGGTACTTTACCTGACCAACCAACACCAGACCCAAGTAAAACAAAACAACCGACCACCTCCAGGTCGGGGAGATATTTCTGAGTTCCCTTAAAGCCGAATTCCCTGGGTCGTTTCTTCCATTTGGACAAGGCCCCAGGAACAAAACAAAAAACTTTCCAGTAGTGATGAAAATTCCTTTTCAAGCCAACAAAGGGAAAATAGAAAAAGCATATTCTTAAGCAAATGAATTCCTTTTAAAGCCATAGAAATGGAGGGTTTTCTTGGCTTCCCCGGCATGGTCATGACGAAGATGATGCTGGTGGCCACCCCCAGGCCCTGGGAGGTCTGCGTGAAGGCCGCCACATTCGCAGAGAGCGACAACGCCTCGCGCCAGTCGCTCCAGCGGACGGCGGATTTTTCCGACGCGCGGAAACCGAGGGCGGGTGGGACGAAGGAAGGTCTTTCCGGGTTCAAAGATCTGCCCTCCCCCCTCAATAAGGAGAAGAGCACAAAACAGAGTAACGGAAGAATATATGCCCTGGAAATAGAGGCAAGAACACAACACACAGAATAACGGAAAAGCATCCCCTGGAAAACAAGGGAAAGCAAGCAAAGACAACAAACATAACAAGCACAAGACACTTGAGGACCGCAGCGTATCAAGGCCCGCTGTTCATGAATGTACCCCATATACCCATTGGTGTGCACGTTGACTGAGCGGGACAACATCTGTCCATTGAATGGCATGACTGCTGGCAGCAGGATGTTCCATGGAAGCTCCTTTCTTGGTGCGATCAGGCAGGAGCTGAGGCGCCGGCACCACTGCCCAACATGCCTTTGGCAAGGCTTACCTTGGGCTTTCCGCAAGCAAATCTGGAAGCCGCAAAAGCACGCAACTGATCTCCCCAAGCCGTTTGCCTGGCCAGTGGGAATGGTTGTAGGATGCCAAAAGGGTCCTTCTTCTCCTTTCGGTTGGGCAACACGCGCAGATTGCAAAGCATATCAGCCAACGGACACTTCCAACCCATGGTCGGAAGTGGCCCAAACATGAGAGCCGCAGGCCCGCTTAAGCGACTGTTTCCATCTTGTAAAGTTATACTTCTAATAGCTGAAAACATGAAAGCTACCACCCCTTAAGTCATGTCAGACTGTCATTTTGCAAATTCTCTCAGAGTGCTGATGTTGATGGCCCTGAACGAGTGTTGCAAAAGTAAAGGCACTCAGCACACGCCAGAAGCCAAAGGCCTCAAGTGACTTTTGGCTTTGGGGCTTACAAAACGGTCCAGCAACAAGAAACAGGGTTCCTCAAGGGATACATCCCGAAGCCACCTGTGGTGCATGGGGGATCGTTGACATCACCTGGTAGCAAAGATTCTTGGCTGGCCTCTATCTGGGTCCGTTAAAGGACTGAAAAGAAATCTGGGCGAATTATGATGTTTCACCAGCCTGAAATAAGGTGGTTTGGGGGCTATTCCCCACATATCGTGTGAGGTCGTTATAATTCACCCAGAGAAATGCAGCATCAACAGCCCCAATGCGTACGCCCCGCTTGTCGAGGTGCTGCGGTGCTCAGCACTGTGGCCTTTGGAACCTCAGACGTGTCATGCCCGTCCTTCGCCTGCCCGGGGCGTTCGGGCCAATCGGTCTCCAGCTTTTTCTTCTTCTGTTTGTCTTTTTTTGCGGGGTGTTCCGGAGCGCCTTTTACATGTGTCATGTGAACCCATGAATCAACCAAAGAGCCAAAGGATGGAACCAAAGGGTTCACACCAGACTGCTGGCCCAATGCACCATTCTCAGCACGTGGGTGTTTCTCAAAATAGTGGCACACCCAGCTTGGGGTGGCTGGCTTCTTTTGCCTAAACCCGCCCCGAAAGGGGTCCACCATTTTGTTCGAAGCCCCCTCGCGCCTGCAACGGAACTCGCCGCGCCTCGCACGTGTCTCCCTGCTTTGGCCCGCGGCTCTTTTGGAATGGGCCCATGTTATAAACATATCGTGGCTTCAAGGGAACTTGAAGTCACCCCCAAAAGTAACGTTAAGAGAAACCTCCAAAACAATCACTCACATGAACATTCAACCACCAGAAGACCCCAGGTTTTAGTCCTTGTTTCCATTTACCAGGGTTTCATGTTAGGGGTTTCCCTATTTTTGACCCATAGCCACATGAGCCAGTTGAATCAACCCTCTTTTCGTGCGCCACTCGCATCTCAGGCTTTGCGCCTCCCAGCGGCCTGTGAGGTTGCCGTGCGAAGGCGCTCCGGCGTAGGAAAACGCCTTCCGGTGGGATCTCGAGCCAAGGCGCCGACATGTGGCTCGTCTTTTCTGAGGCTCGGTACCACTTGTTTGTGTTTTCAAAATGAAACCAACAGCAAGACTGAAGAGGACCCTGAAAAAAGACACCCATAGAACTTCCCATTATTTTCCGGGCAACAAATTGGATAACGGGGGTTCTGTGCGTAGGTCTGGTCAGCCATGTGCCCCGGGGTGGCGGGGTGGCGAGTGAAAATTCAACACCAGTGCCAAAACTGAGTACCACGCCACAAGGCGTACTATCAACTATGCTTCCTAGTCAAATCACGTCAGCCACCGCTTGGAGGGTCAACGGAACCCGACACTGGAAGCTCTGAACACAGAACCCCAGAAAAGAAGCCTCCCGAAAGCAGATTCATCGAACCATGCCTGATTTGCTTGCGGGCATCTTCAATTGGCCGACTCGAGCATGGCAAATTGCAGCAGCAACCCCAGCCCTTTGGATTTTCATGGGGGACAAGGCCGCCCCTTGTTTTGGTAGTTGACGTGAAAGGGAATCTCCCGAGAAAAAGAGCCGGGAGTGTGGGAAATCACAAGGGGCAAGTGGGTATGTGTTGAAGGGGACTCAAGAAAAACCCGTGGGAAACCTTTCAAACCAAAATAAAAAGGGCATCCTGAAAAAAAGCCAGCTAGTCAGTCACACACACACACCCATATATACATAGAAAGAGAGAGAGAGAGAGAGAGAGAGAGAGAGAGAGAGAGAGAGAGAAAAAAAAAAAGAGAGAGAGAGAGAGAGAGGGGGGGCGGGCTCCGAGTTGGTGCCCAAACAGCGTTCCTGCCACTTCCTGCTCTGCCAATGAACGTGGAACCCCAAAGACAAGTTCCCCGAAGTTTCATCTAAGCATGGATGATTTGTTTGAGGAAGATCTTCGAGCATATCTCCAGCCCGAATCCCAGATCTTCGCGCGCACACACCCACACATCTATATCTATCCATATATATATATACATATACACACATATATATATATATATACACACATAGAATATACATATATATATATATGGGTGTGTTTTTATGACGTGGCCGTGCCGGGAGGTTGGTATAAGGGGTATGAATCGCAGGTATGGTTCGGGGTATGGCTCGGGGGTATGATTCGGGGTATGGCTCGCGCGCCTCTGAACTCTTGCTTTGTGGCTTTGGACGCTGCAAAGCTCCCGTGCGCTGGCAACTGGATAGCCGTGAGAATTTGGACCGCTTAGTTGCTACAAGCCAGCCTGGGGCGCTTGTGAGTGGCCTGAACTACACAGCTGCTGCCACTCTGCGTTAGTGGGTTAGCGAAAGCTGCTGCGCTAGGTGGAAGGCGCAGACACTGCCTGATTCGAACGTCATGGCCACCTCCATTTGGAGTTCAAGCGACCCGCGTGCTCACAGACCCAAGCAAGCGTTGCTGAAGGGGAAGCGCCGCTGCCCAGTCAGGCACGCCACCCGCACCAGTCACGAACCAGCGTAAGGGCAAGACAGCGTGACATCCTCAAACGGCAGCCGCGCAGAGGCTAGTGGGCCTCTCACAGGTGGTGTACCGTGTCGCGCTTGATACATCGCAGCAAGCCTTCCGAACCCACCTTCTGGCGAACTTCTGCGAAAAGAGCCGCGAGCTGGTTCCTGTAGTGCTTCTCTTTGAGTTTTGTGTCTTCTGAGGATTTGGGCGGCATAGCTTCGCTAGTACTGCCCAGAGCGCAAGAGGCTCTTGGCTGCAAATGGCAGCAGAAGGGTATGAATCGGGGGTATGAATCGGGGGACAGATGTTTTTCGACCGGAAAGACACCAAGAGTACCCCAGGAGCACAAAGACAGCTTGTGTTTCACTGCGACAGTGGCCCAAAACAGACAGCTGTTTCCACCGCGTCGGACAGACTGCAGGAAGCAAGCTCCAAGTTTCAAGCTCAGCAGCGGCACCCCCCGCCACAGCGCCCGGCAAGTCCCAGCGTCTTACGTCAAGCTGCACCCCCCGGCCACAGCACCACGGATGCTACAGACAACTCTAGTACCAGGACATCCGCAGGATTGCTCTATAACTCCATCCATTGGCACTTTCCATTGAAAATAGCAAGCCGAGACCGAGGTGGGTAACCGAGTGTCAAGGAACATTAGTTGAGCCAAAATGGCCCCCCACGAGTAACCAGTGAGTGTGTGAGTGGACATGTCAACTGTACTTGGCCCCATGACATCAGAGCCCAACCATGCAAGCATCGCAGACTCAAGAATAGATCCAGGAACCACTTGACAAGACCCCCTTCTTCACTTGAAGTTAAACCCCCTATAGCTTCCACACATGCCACAGTTCTTGCAAGTTAGTTTTTATTGTCTTTTTTAAGGGGTATGACTCGGGGTATGGCTCGGGGGTATGGTTCGGGGTATGATTCGGGGGTATGGCTCGCCCAAGCCCCACCTCCCACGAAGACTAAAGAACTGACACGGTTAAAAAAACACAGACCCATATATATATATATATATATGTGAACATCTGTTTACACATACAGGCAGAGAGGGCGGGCGGACTCCAAACTGGCACCCAACAACGCCGGGCGAAATTCTCTTCGGCTTCCAAGTCTCGCACCAGAGGGCAGAGGAAAGCAGCTGACGCCCACAGCTTCAAGCTGCGACCCCGAGGCTTTGTCCTTGGATCGACTCGACGGGAACGCAGACAGATCCAACCTCCGGAAGAAGAAAAAATGTGGTTGCCTGGTGCAAAAGAACATGAAGGAACCCAAAAGGGCTTCATTACAGAAAGAAGTCTGGCAACTGAAAAAAATGGGAATCCTCATTCTCATGCTTGACAACATCCAAACAGTCGTTATCCTGCACCCGATGCAAAAGCAGCCGTAGCTTCCCTTGGGAGATGTGCTTTCTGAGTATGTCTAGTTCAAGAGGCTGTCAATGTTCCTTTGTTGGGTTTTGATAGGCTCAAATCCAGGAAAACGTGCTACGAATGCAGTCATGGCCTGTGCAGAACAGGCCCATCCAAAACCGCGCCAGTGATTGCGAGTAGGCAAACAAAAGCATCTGGACATCTGGCAAAGCTTCCTGTGCCGGTCACAGTTCCCTGGGTGGGATTTGTCTCTGGCCTTCTGCATTCCAATGAAGGTGTCCATCAACATTCCTAGCCTTATAGAATCCCTGGGGGGGAAGGGGTGGGTAAATTAGGGTTCCTAGGCAGTCCTGGGACCCCCCCCCTTGGACCACCCCCGCATAGGGCTTCCCCAACAACCCCTTTGAGGTGCTTTGATCATCCCCGAGAAATTCAGACCGCAGGCAAGGCTCGCGCTGGCCATCTGTGCAAAGGATTCCTGCACCGAGCCACCAGCTGGGGCCACATACTGCGGACAAATCTGAAGGACAACTTTGGTTCATGGCGGCCCCTTTTGTGGTATAAGTTTTGGATGTGAAACTAAGAGAAATCACAACTTCTTGCTTTTGGGGAGATGGTTTCCCACTCAGAGGCAAGCACAGCTATGACAAACCAACTTGCATCTCATGGGATGTGTATCTCCACTTGGTATGGCAGCCCCCCATTCCAGAAGGACAAATCAGCTAAAAGCAAAACTCCTTTTGCGCGTGAGCTTTGTACCACATACGTCTGAGCGTGGCGCCCGTGATGGCACGCGTCCGTAGCCCTTCGAACGGCCCACCGTTTTCAGCATCGCCCGCCTTCCGCGAGCGCCCGCTGACTCGCCGGCGGGCGATGCACTTCGCTCCGGTCGGCTCCTTTCACGTCGCAGGCCGCGTGAGCTCATGCGCCGGAAACTCGCGCAATGGAAACCCCAATCACAGCTCAAGCTGGATGGCGCAGTCGAAGTGAAGAGTGCCTGGCTCCAAGGCCGAAGGAAAATGCCACCAATGACCCTGAGCTTCTGTCCGATTGACCAGCCTGTGAAGGGTCGCCTAGCCTCCCAGCATGATGGGCCTGCGCACGTCAAGCAGACTTGCCGACGCATGGCTGGGGCAGCCAACTTGAAAATAGGCACCCACCCACCGAAGCCCCAAAATGGTGACATGGTGTTGCAATTTGTGGACCCTCAGCTTCTATGGTTTGAAGTGGAAACTTTTTAGAACTGACCAAAAGTAGGCCGACAGCCGGGAAATCCGGTGACTCACCGGCGAAGCTTTCGCGTCGCGCGCCTGCGTCTGCGCACAGCCCAGAGAAGACCATGCCTTCCACTGTCCAGGCAAGCCTTGCACCGACCCGGTCAGCAGGGGCTGAATAAACAAGATTGCTCACATCTACCATGTGAATCATAGTCTGCCGGAAAAGGAACCTGTATCTAAGGAGCCGTTCACACCGCACAACCTGTCCTAGCCAAGGGCCCAGCCCCTCGAACTAATTCTTTCCCCAGGAGATAGTTTCTATCGGCCAAAACTCCCGGCTACCAGAAAATCGAAAGGCCACTGGCCAGGTCCCAAACCAGTGCGGGGAGTTGTTTCAAGGGAAGCTCCGAAGAACCCAACCGTTCTGGGGACAGGCCAACCCATTGACACAACTTATCTCAAGTTGGGTCGCTTTTGGAGGTACAAGGCCTCTGCAGAAATACAAGAACATCGTGTCAAAGCACTGCGTTACATGCTTGATGCAACCTTGCACAACATGCAATGGCACGACATGACCAACAAAAAGGCACTACCCTCACCACATTGCACTAACAAGCGCTGCACACGCCAGGGAAGAGGTGCATGCATACGCACATGTACCTCTCTTTTTAGCTCCCCCTCTCTCGCTCTCTCTCTCTCTCTCTCTCTCCATATTTATGTATGTGCATATTTATCTGCATGTGCATGTGCAAGATATTCGCATGTGTGAATGTATGTAGGCAGGCATGCAAGTATGTACGTTCGTGCGTACGTACGGGATGGTGCGTTTTTGTGCATACGTTTAAACACGTGCATGCCATGTCCATGCACAATTGGCAACATCCAGAACTACATAACCTAAGCTATTGCACAAGCATAAAACTCAACTTAATGTTTTCTTCTACATGTAGTATCCCAGCAACTCCCGTGCCTTTTGTACACAACATGCATGCATATACATAACAAATATGTGCGTGCGTGTTGGTATGCAGAACCGCGCTAGTACACAACTCCGTTGCATTCATCTTGCATTGCCTTCGCTCTGCATACGCCTACATCGCCACTAAGCTCTGGGGTCCTTCACTTGCTGAGAATCCACTCACTGGAACGTGACACAGAACAGCGGAAGGACCCCCGTCTATCCAAGTGACTCGCGGGCACAGTGCCATAGCAGGTTTCTGCACGGCTGCGCCAAACTACCTGATGCTGTACCTACACATTGCGTGAGCAACTGGTAGCATCTGTTCCAGGAGTGGACGTGGTGTGACATGGCTCGCTCACCATGGTCACTTAGACGTCAAAAAAACCCGATTGGCCCATCTGCGTACATCTGATTGGCCCGGGAAGGCTTCCAGATCACATGGGGATCTGCCGCAGGGCATGATCGAACTCCACACTGTCCACCTCCCAGGACTCAAGGGACATCTGCGAACCGCTGGGCCGACCAGGAAAGTCCAGAATGCGAGACATATCGCCCCACACGCCTGGGTGGATAACTTTCGGCCGAGGGGGAAAACATGGGAATACATGGGAAGAAACCAAAACCGTTGCCCTCCCATCCACTGACATAGGGTCTGACTCGGGGGTGCTGAAAGACGAGTTGCCTTTAACAGAGCTTTTCATGCTACAGGAGGGTAAAAGTACCTCCAGCGTCAGTAGCAGCCAAGATGCCCTTGGACCCCCCTTGTTCTAGGGCGGCTTCTTCTATGGACCGTGCTACTCTGGGCGCCGTCTGCTTTCCCTGCATTGACCGCTGCCAGCGGTTTGGCTTGGTGGGGTAGGAGTTCTGCCCCAATTGCTGCACAAAATTCATGCCCCAGCGCTTGATCAGGTTGCCCTCGATGTCCGGTGGCCTGGGCGATACAAATAGATCACCATGATTTCACAACAATCCCTCATCCTGTGCGGGAAGGGGGGGGGACAGGGGGTGGCAGGAAGGTGGTTTCCATGTTCAAGCGGGGAGAGGGGGGCAATTCACCCTACATTTCCCATCCTCTTTTGGGTTGCTGTTCAGGGAAAGAAAAAAAAGAAGAAAAAGAAGAACATATGCATGGTTTCTAATTATTCAGCACCCAGCCTTACTATCTCCGTCCTCGTCTCCTTGGGCCTTTCAGACTTCGGACGCTGTCTGGACCGCTGCGGCTTGATCGGTGGAAGCGCGGCTCGATCCATGAGGCAGCGATGATGTTCTGCCAGCGCCGCTTTGAGACTCAACAGCTACACATGGGCAGTGTCTTCAAAATGGCCATGGGTCAAAATCCAAATCGTACCCCCAGTGAACATCCCAATCCAACCACTAAAATAGGTTCTAAAATGGGTGGAGAATGCACCTACCCCAAAATGGGATCCCATTGGTTTTGACAACCACGGCCAAATCAAGCCGCAAGCTTCTTCAACGGCACTGCAATCAGAACTCGACTCAGCACCCTCCGCAGGCCTCTTCCCATCAAAGTATGTCAGCCTGCAATTCGCGCGGGGCAGCACAGCGCACTCTGCAAAGAGCGTTTCAAACATGGCGCCCCGAACCATAGGTGGCCTTTTGGAAAAATAGATGGCCGTGGTAAATGGAATAAAACCTATCTAAGCCAGTGCCATCTATTTCTAGTCAAACTAACCTAAAAAGGACACCTACGCCCCGAACTCGCATGCACCATCATGCACGGCATGCGTTTTTGTTTGTTTGTTTTTTTTTGCTTTTTTTGTAAATACGCGCCTGATGTTTTGGCCCCGCTCGTGTTGCCCGAAGGTGACGCTGGGAAGCATGGCCACAGCTTGTTGGCAGGGCAACTCCAGGCGCTGCACCCACATGTAATCCACCACAGCCTCACAGATCAGAACCTCAACAACATGAGCACTGACACATGTTTTTCTGAAGAACAAGCGCGGATGAATCGAGACTTATCCCCCAAAAACAAAAGAAAGGATTCCAATGCTTTTTGCGGGGCGCCATGCCCTCGAATTCATCAAACAATTTACGAATCTTTCAGGTTGAAGTGAGATCCGCAGTGAGATCCTTCTGGGGGCTGGGCGCGGGCCCCAATTCCTCTCTTTGCGGGAGGGTCTGGACTCAACGCAAAAGAAGCCCACTGACATTCAAGACCCAAAAACAGAACGAGAGATATATAAATTGCAAATGGAGATCTCCAGCGGTCGAATTCTTTCCTCCCAGAGATCCAATTCTAAGCGAGTGGGGATAAGAAAAGGCGTGGGCTCGAGGCTTTCAGTGATTCTGAAAAACTGGAAAACAACAAACTGCCCTCCCTTCCACGCACCTGGAGGGCACCTGAACACTGGCTTCAAGGAACCTTTTGCTACGTGGGAGTGAGGCTTCGCCTTTGCTTCCTCAGCCACGTGGGAGTGAGGCTTCGCCTTGAGGGACGGGGATGACACAGCCAAACAAGAAAGCACAAATCAGATGGCCGGTGCCGGCCTGGAGTTCTTCCACACCTCGCGGCGCGGACCCCGGGTCGCTGGGCACATGACTGCGTCGTTGCTCAGCTTGGTGGACTCTCCCGCCCCCAAGATGGCAACCGGTGGAAAAAAAAAATATCCCTTTTGAAACTACCAAAATTGTGGTTTCCCTTTGGCAACTGTTGAAACATCCGGTTTCAAAAAGTCGAGCCGCAAAAAAAGACAAGACGTGATCGCCGCCCATGCGATTCAAAAACCGGGGTCAGTGGTCAGTGGGCTTCAGAGGGATTGTCAAGGCGCTCATGCTGGCAGCAATCTTTTGCTTGAAGCTGATACCGAAGCTGTCGTCTGTCAACGCGGACCTCATAGCAACGAATGCCTTCTGCGACTGAAATCCAAGAAGAATCCATGCAAAACTCCTGTGAATCAGCTGGTGCCACAAGTAGACTCTGTGCAAATTAACAGTCTTCAAGAGTGAGCTCGTCTGAGAATCCGTTCGCCAAAACTCGTGCTCAACAGGTCGCCTGGGCAAGAACATCCTCGCCCCTCAAACCCTCTACCCTCCTGCTTCTGGCACCTAAAACCAACTTCATGGAATTTCTGTTTCAAGGGTTCTCAAAGGATGCATCTCAACACCTCATGCTTTGCAAGCACATCTTCTAAATCAGCCTGCAAAATCCCATGAAGTTTTAAAAAACATGTGGCCCAAATAGGTGTCTTTTTGTTTTTGTCTGCACACTCTCGCAAGGCGGGCCCACTCCAGCTGTGCTTTCATGACATGCAAGATAGGCAAGCCAAAACACCTCAGCCCCACGCGTCACTGGAAAGTGGCGCTTTTTGGATGGTGTTGGCGGGAAACTAACTGGAAAACCTGCTGTGTTGGCTGGCCCCATGATTTTACCTTGACCAAAGCCAACACTCAACGGGAGGGTTACAGGGAAACAACCCCCAAAGCGACCCCAGTCAGGTCCAAAATGGGTCCAAAATGGGTCCAAAAAAGCAAAGACGGAGACCCAGCTGTTAGGGGGCCCTGCTTTTGGGACATCCCAAAAGCAGACCAGCTGGGCTGCTGGAAGGCGAATGGCACCACTGGACAGGACGAAGGCTTCAGCTTCCTCGGATTTGACCCCCTGACAAGTTGAGACAAGCCCCCCAAACTTGGCAAGGCATCCCAAATTTGGGTTTCAGGATTTTCTGTGGTGCAGAGTCCAGAGTGTGAAAAGAGGCATTTGGACGCCTCAAAATTGTAGTGTTCCCTTTGGTTTCCCTGTAAACGAACGCCAAAAAGCCACCCTCACAAACAATTTGAGACCTCAAGGAGGTCTACCTAGATTCAAGGGGCCCCTTGGTTTCCTCTGTTTGGAATTTCGCCAGGGGAGCAACGGCAAAGCGTCCAGCGGGCTAAAATGCCACGCCCCCAGGGGCGCTGCCTGTTTTCAAAGGGGCAACCAACAAGGACCCCTTATTTTTGACCAGCCCCCCAAGTCTTCCTTTCGAGCCAGCCAAGCTTCGCCCCGGAGATCTCGGTCTCAAAAGCGAGCTGCTGCTCAATCCAGGCCAGTGCCTGCGTGCTGGCCGTCGGGGTTGCTAGCAAAACATGGAAATCCCCATAGGCGCGCCTAGCGTTGCATGGCCTTTGAAACGCCCATTCTGCGGTAGGGAATCTCAGATCTATCACAGTGACCCAAGCTATGGCAGCCTTGCATTGTCATACTCACAGGCCATGTCGCAAACAGCTATGCAAACTGCCCGCTGAAAGCTGCTCGAAATTTTGAGACACCCACAGGCACAAATGAGCAGCTTTTCCAAAGGCTTCGGCCTCATCCCTGACCTCATTCTGCAAGCTGTCCTCTCTCACGCTTTCAGTGGAGCTGCCAGTGCCCATCGGACCATCGGCCAGGTGTGGTTCTGCTTCAACATGTGGCTATGCTTTGTTTTATATGGCCATGGGTCAAAATCCCGTACCCCAAGTGAACATCCCAATCCCCACTAAAATAGACTAAAATGGGTGGTGCACCTACCCCAAAATGGTACCATTGGTTTGGACCCACAGCCATATAATTGGGGAGGAATCCTTTGCTGGACAGGACTTTAAGCGGGGATTCGTGTCCCTAATTCATAGCTATGTCACTATGTCTCATGGCTACGGAGGCAGCCTCTAGGACACACCTACCTCCCACAGGCTGACCATTGGATGCCCTGGCCCTCCCCACTGTTTGTCCAGCACAGCTTGAGACGATCCCAATGCCGGGTGGGCAAAATGCTGGATTTGGCGGGCAAGAACGGGGCATGTTTCAGACGCGTGGGGGCGAGGGGGGTCCTTAAAGGAAACCTCAAACAAACGGCTTCCGATCAATTCGTGGGTTGGATTGGTGGCATATACCCTCTACAAGAACCAAACAACCAGGGGGTCAATCCAAGCCACCCAATTACGCAATTGAGGTTACGTAAAACAAGGTTTCCCCTCGAAAATGCACACCATCACACTGAGCCTATCAATCGGATGAGCCGCCCTGTGCTGAGACGTTTTGTAAGCGATGGACCGTGGCCATCTGAAGCGTGAGGGCGTGTTTTAGAGAGGAACCTCCTGGAGATCCGCCATGCAAACAGATATGGCTTTGATGTCTCAACATGCGGGGCACCTTGGAAATGGAGCATCTCCAACACCCAACAAGGTTACCCTCAAGGACACGCCCAGCGTGAAGGAAACTCAGGCAAGACTTGCCCAGATATTGCTAGCATGGAAAGTGCAGTGGCGCTGTGCGCCAGAAACCGTATTGGAGCCTCTGTCGAAACATATCAGGGAAACCAGAAAAGCATCTCGTTATAGATGCAGCAGGCTGCAGCGTTACTTGCTGAAATCGTGAAGGCTGTTATGTCGTGGGGCAACTGTTTTCGACAGGGGCCCGGACAATGCGGCAGAATGGGGCCCAGTGGCCAGCCTTCAAACATTATCAAAAGCCGAACTCCTGGCGCCATGATTTTACAACGCTCGAAGGAAAGCCCTGCTTAACTTCATTGCCAATTGGAACCGGACTCACACCAGCTATGTTGCGGGCTCCCTTACTTGGAAACCACTAAATCAAAATCATGGGCCCGAAACTGACCTTTCAGGCGTCTGCGAGAAGCTCAGGTGCTGCCCTGGCGCCAGCGCCAAAAGGGTTGCCAAAAATTATTGCACGCAGACAGCGAGTTTGAGGGGAACCGGAAAACCCAGGCTTTCAGACTTGCTTCATGCGAAACGCAGAAGCCAAAGAAACGAAGACGCTTCTTTGGAGCTATCGCTGAATCACTGATGTTGCCCGTCCTAGGCTCTCACGCCTAGAAATTCTGTTGGCAAAATGTCTGTCCGTTTTTGCCGTTGCCTCAAAGGCAGACTTCCTCCCCGCGGTTGCTCACACATATGCTGGGGATAGTCAGGGTTGCCCACAAGACCATAGACGTGGTCTATGGCAGTCTTACTGGTCCACTGTTCAGAGCTTGGCCATAGCTCCAGCCTGGACAAAGAGGAGAATGGGGAGGGACCATGCCCAGCTCGCTCAAGCTTAACAACCCCAAACCTGCCAAGTGGGAAAACACCCACCTACCCGTCCAAGCAAGGCAGGCAGCGCAAGGCAAGGCAAGCCATGCAAGCCAAGCAACCAACAAACCCAACCAACAAAACCAACTAACAGAACCACCCAAGAGAACAACCAACCAAAAACAACAACCAAAAAAGACAGCCACCCAACCAAAAGAACCGACCCCCGAAAAAAAGCAAC